AAACAACTTGGTTGAGATAGTCACATACCATACAATTCACTCATGTAAAGCATATCGTTCCACAGGGTTGGGTAGATTCATCATTTTTTTAATTGTGGTAAATATACACCCCTATGATACAGAGAGATGTGATACTTGCCATTTTAGGCACTTTCAGCGTGCAGTTCCATGATATTTATACTTTTACAATATTGTGTAACTGTTGACTTGCCATTTCCAACGCTTTTTTGTCACTCAGATAGAAAGTTTGTAACCATTACACTGACTCTCCACAGCCCATCTCCCAGCCCTGGCAACCTCTAATTTGCTTTCAGAAAGAAAAATTTTTGAAAGATTGGAATCATAATTTTTTAACTAATAAACTTAATTTTAAAGATTTATTTATTTTTATAAAAGAGCTGGGGTACAGGTCAGAGGCGTGGGAGGGTGAGGGGATTCACCAGAGACAGAGCGGGGAACAGAACAGGGGGATCGACTGAAATATACTACTGAGGGGAGCAGCGGGGGAGACAGGAGAGGTCTGCCACACCATGTGGGAATCTCCCTGGCTGGCTGGGAATCGAACTGGCACTGCAGAGGCTGCAGACAGCTTCACAGCGCTGCGCTCAACCCGCTGTGCCACGGGGGAGGCCCTAAACTTAATTTTTGTAGAGAAGTTTTAGATTCACAGTTTCAGATGTTTTCCATCTACCCCCTGCTCAGCCTCCCCACCATCAGCATCCCCCACTGGATGGTACATTTGTATTAATGGATATACCTCCATTGGCACATTAGCACCTAAATCAGTAATTCGCCTTAGGATTCACTCTGGGTGTTTAGTGCTGTGTTCATCTCTGCAGGATCAGACCAACAGTTCCACCCTATACAAGAGTTGGGGTGTAGGCCAGTGGTGTGGAGAGGTGAGAGGATTTACCGGAGACAGAGTAGGGGGCAGAACAGGCAGATTGACAGAAACACACTGCTGAGGGGAGCAGCAGTCGAGACAGGAGAGGTCTGCTGTGCCATGTGGGTCAGCTCCCTGGCTGGGGTACTGCAGTGGCTGCTTCATAGTTCTGAGCCATAGAACTATGGCTTCATAGTTCTGAGACTTAACCCTTTGTGCCACCAGGGAAGCCCCCTTCCTCCATTTTTTAATCTACATAATGAGTCAACATCCATGCTATGGAAGTTGAAATTATCATCCAGCTCTGGGCTTCCACTCTCACTTTTTGATAACTCTATTATTAGTGTACATTGTTCAGGTTTTAATATTCTATTCAATAAACAGGAGTGCTACCATTTAAAAAATACTAATTCAGTCTTCAACATTCTCCATTGATGAATGTTGGATTTATCTTTTGGTTGGTTGGAAGTCAGCACCAGGTACCTTTGTTTCAGGACTTAGGGATGTCTGAGCCCCTGAATTCATGTGTCAGAATGTCTGTTAACTTTCTACTTGAAGGACAGTTTAGCTGGGTATAAATTGCTGGATCCTGGTTTCTTTCTCCCAGAACACTGTAGATACAGTTCCATTGTTTTCTGAAATTGTGTTGCTGTGGCGGGTTCTAATTCTCTTCCACCCACATCTCTGTGCCTCCTGGTTATAGGGTTCTTTCCTTGTCCTTTAGGTTTGGTAACTTTTTTTTTTTTTTTAAGATTATTTATTTATACAAGCACTGGGTACAGTCAGAAGCATGGGAGGGTGAGAGAATTCACCAGAGCCAGAGTGGGGAACAGAACAGGCAGAACAACGAAATACACTGCTGAGGGGAGCAGTGGGCGCGGCAGGAGAGGTCTGTCGCGCCATGTGGGACCCTCGCTGGCGGCCGGGGATTGATCCGGCGCTGTAGAGGCTGCGGGCAGCTTCACAGCCCAGGGCTTAACTGTTGCACCACCAGGGGAGGCCCTAGGTTTGGTAACTTTTGAAGGATGATCTTTGTGTGGATTACACCAACAAGCTTTTCTGGGCCACAGAAGGGCAGTTAGTCTGTAGAGTCAAGTCTTTTATTGGAGGTGATTTGTTTCAGTGTGTATTTGAATACTTACCCCAGCCATTTTCTGTTATTCTTTTTCTTCAGTAATCACCAATTGTGTACATGTTGTGTTTCCTTTTACCTCCCAAATCTGCCTCATGTCTTGTGAGTGTCCTCCTTTTAATTTTGTGTGATTTCCTCAAACCCACACACCACATCTCTAGTGGCTTATTTATTCATGGCTGATAACATGGCTTTTAAGAAATATCTGTGATGTGTTTTTTTTTTTTCCAATTCTTCCCCAGAGCGCTACTGACTTACTTTTCACCTTTAATTTTTTCTGTTGTCAAATCATCTTTTAAAAATTTCTGTCTCCTCCCAACCCCTCTGCTCCCACCAGTGTTTCAGAGATTCTAGTTGTCAGCTTCTCTGTGTCTGTGGAGAACTGTTTTCTGAAGTCTTTCTCTGGCCATTTCCTCTTGTGATGCATTTGCCTTACACCCTTAATGCCCAGGACCCTTGTGGGTTCCTTTCTGATTACTCATCTTTAGCTGCCTTCTCAGGAGCAGGGTGTAGAGTGCGGGGAGGCGCCTGGAGCAGCCTGCAGCTGCGGTCTGGGCTGGCTTACTGTCAGAAGTCTCTTCCCAGAGCTGCTATTTCATCTCGGTTGGGTCTCAGGGCTCCTGAGGTCATTTTGGCTCAAAGCCAAAGTCCTCAGGTCATTTACTCTCTATTATGGCTAACCCCTAGTCGCTCCTCCCTCCCAAGACCCACTCTACTCCCGGCATCTGTCTTAGAAATGGCGGGTTGGGTGATGCTTCCCCGGCTCTCACCCCTCTTCCATTGCACAGTGTAAGCTCCTGTCTCTGCGGGTCCTATGTGGCACACGGCAGCGCTAGTTCCATTGGCCCCGAGCTCGGACTCACCTAAATGCGCATGGACTGGGGTCAGTACCTTCTCCCAATGAAATAATGAACAGTAATCAGAATGAACAATCCACAATTACCTGCAGCAGCTGGGATGAGTCCGAGGAACATAATGCTGACCAAAGAAGCCGGAAGCAAAAGAACGTATGATTCCATAAGAAATTGCCTTGTCTGCAGGTCGCAGACAGTTGGGGATTGGCAGTTCATGGGTTTCAACCTAATATAAAGTGTGAAAACAGAAAAAGAGAGGACAGGGTTGCCCCTCCTTGGGGGGATGTGACTGGAAGGGCCACCAGGGGGACCCCACTTTGTGGCTTTTCTGTTTCCTGCTCTTTTCTGTTTCTTGCTGGTCGCATGGGTGAGCTGCCTATGTGAAAATGCATCCAACTTACGAGATGCACATTTTTTGGTAACATGTGAGACTCCAACAAAAAGTGAAAAAGTCATGAAGCTACATCTCTTCTCCCCAGGCATCCACAGCTCTTGCTTTCATCCTCTGACTGGTGGGAATTGACAGGGGACTGGGGTGGCGGGGTGGGGGGTGTTGCGGGTCCCGGCAGGCTCCCTTCTCCGTTGTGTCTTGGGGAAGTGGTGATATCCTCTTTTCATCAGCCACAGTGGCTTTATCTTCAGTGGGTTTGTATTGGGCTAGGGTTAGGGTTATGCTCCCGCCTACTACCCTCAACCGGAAGTCAGGATAGAGTGGTGTGGCTCGAAAGAAACAGCCTGACTTCCTTTCTTAACTAAAGCAAATGCTCGTATGGGACCAGGTGAGACACTGCTGGCCTGGCAGCCTGATCTCCTTGGAGGGCAACACCCAGTGCCTGGCACCGAAAGACCACTCATGTCGGTCTCCCCATCTCCACCCCAAAGGCTTGTGGGCGTGGGAAGCTGTCAGCCTTTCCCTGGGGCTGCTTGATGGACAGTGTTTGTTTCCGAGTGGAAATGCAGATTGAGGCTTGTTCTTGTGGTCACGCCTTGCCAGGTGGGTGACAGAGCTGACCCGGAAGCCAGCAAACTAACCTGAGTTCCTGTGCAGCTGGGTTGCGGGGAATGGCCCCGTCCCGGGCTGCTGGGAGCTTCGGTGTGCCAGCCCCCTTTCCTGGGACACCCCACAGGGGCCTCTGACCCATATAGGCACCATCCCTGCTCTCTGTCTCATCCCCCCAGGTGTTTATTAAGAATTTCTTCTGGCCCCATTTCTGATTGTCTCGAGTCTGGAATGAACACTTGCCAGAACCTTCTTAGGTACTCAGTGATACCCCAGTGCGGTGCTGCTTGGCCTGTACAGTGGCACCCTGGCTCTGGTGTGGGGGACACCCTGTCGTGGCATCCTGCCCCTGGTCACTCTGCTGTCCCTCCAGCCGTCTTTCTAAATCTGCCACTGCCCATTTTGGAAGACTTCACTCAGCTTCCAGTAACTCTGGGGGTGATGCCAAATACATTGACATCACGGCCCCATCACCCAGGGCCAGGCTTGAGGGTGGGGTTCTTTACTAGAGCCTGACTCTGTGGCCTCCTTCAGGCACAGCTTATGTGTTGTGTTGTTTTGTTAATTTGATTGCCTTAGGTGCAAATCTTCATCAAATAGCCTCTTCCATGAGGCTGCGTGGGTGAACTGTGCGCTTATTTTAAATCGCTTTATGCATCCCCCCTCCCCTGCGTGGGCAGCCACCACTTACCTCTCCCACCTCCAAGACCTGACCTGGGGTCAGCATTGGTCTGCATCGGGAACAGCTAGTGCTGGACTGAACTAGAATCCTCTTTGGGCTCGGCCTGCTTTCTCATCACCAGCCACTGCCTCCCTGCAGTCGCTGGCTTGGGGCGGTGAGCCGCAGGTGCAACTGGAGCCTGTGCTCTTGCGTCTCGGGCTCACGACCCGCTCCCGCGACCCGCTCCCGTGCCGGCTGGCTGGCAGGGCAGGGGCCTTTATTTCCCTGTGGCTGTTGAGCAGTTCTCCTGCGTCCTCCACAAGATTGCTTGGCAACCAGGAAGGTGGACGCTGGGAGGTGAGGGAGCTCCCGGGGTGTCGGCGCGGGGCTTCCTGCCTGGGGCCCCAGCTGTGAGCTGTTGCACCCCACCAGCCTTTGCAGAAAGTGACTCCCGGCTTCTCTCTCCCCAGGGGTCCTTGGTGAACTTTGGCATGGTGGTTTAAGGAGCCTCTCCTAGACGTTCCAAGGTGCAGTTCCCCATCGACGGGAAGGCTCGGACTCCAAGATGATCGTGAAGGAGTACCGGATCCCTCTGCCGATGACCGTGGAGGAGTACCGCATTGCCCAGCTCTACATGATACAGGTGGGTGGCGGTGCCCAGAGGGCCCCCGGGGTGTCTGACCCTCAGCCCGCGACGGCAGTGGCCCTGCCTCTCCCGCACGCTGTTCACGGCGCCCGCAGTCCCGCCACTCTCGGCATTTCACGCTGCTCCAGACATGTCCTCATGTTTAATCAGCTCAGGCTACCGTGACAAAATGCCCAGATGGGGCAGCTTAAACAACAGCTTTTATTTCTCACAGTTCTCCAGCCCAGACGTCCAAGATCAAGGTGCCTGTGGATTTGGGTCCCTGCTTGGCCTCTTCCCGCGTGCGGCGGCCGCCAAGGGACACCTTGTCAGTGTCCTCATGTGGGGGGTGCCAGGGGCTCTCTGGGGTGTCTTTGGGAAAGGGCACTGATCTTGTTGTGAAGCCCCCTGACCCCATGACCTGATCACCCCTGAGGGCCCGACCTTTCATCATTGGGGTTAGGGCTTCAGTTTGGGGGGGAAACAAGCATTTAGTCCACAGCACCCCCATCAGCCGGGCAAGAGGGTGGGAGGCGGCGGAGTCTGGGACTAGCCCAGGGTGCACAGGCTGGCTCGCGTGCCCGTCCGAGCTGCCCCGAGCTGCCCGTGGAATTGCTGTGTCAGCCATGCGACTCGTTCACAGAGTTAGACGCGAGTTTGAGGTGACAGGCCAGAGAACACCCCCACCCCCCGGACATTGCCGGCCCCCCTGCTCGGTGTCCGACTCCCTTGAAGCATGGAGTTGGAGCCCCTGGGTCCCCAGAACCCAGGCCCAGACGTGACCGCGGCGCGCCTGCTGGGGCCCTGCTCCTGAGCCCCTCCCGCTTCCCTGGCGGCTTCTTGCCCCTGCGGGCACCCAGCCCTTTGCCTGTCGGCAGCTGTCTCTGCTGGAAGATGGAGGACGAGCCTGCCCCGGCCTCCCTGCCCCTCTGGGCTGGCCCAGGCACGCCCCACCTGGCTGCCTGGGCCTCCATCTTCACACTGGGTTTGCTCAAGGGGCTCCCACCCTTCAGCTGGGGCTAGGAGTTAGTTCCTTGCTCCCCATGGAGCCCGGACCCGCCCCACCCCACCCCCTTCTGGGAGGGGCTCAGCGAGGTGGGAGAATTGAAACCCCCTCCCTGCGGCAGGGGCTTGGCTGGGAAGAGAACAGAAGGCGAGCCCAGCCTCTCCTGGGCTGTTTGCTCCGAGCACCTTCCAAAGCGCCACTCGACTCCCTCTTGAACCACTTACCCTGTAATTACTCCTGAAGAGCGGGGAGCTTCCAGCAGCCCCGGCTCTGAGTGCGCTCGGGAAACCGCTCTACCCTCAAGGATCAAGCTGAGTAGCTGCGGGTCCTGTGGCTTCTTGATCCCCCCACAAGCCGGGATGCCCCGCCCTGGGGCAGCTCCCACTTGTGTTCGAGGCCGGGCGTCCGGGTCCACGGGGCCTGGCGTGCGGCTTCTAGGGTCTCCGGAGCTTTTTTGAAGCATATTTTGAGGGTTTTTTCTTTCTTTAATGTCAATCCTTGTGACTCTGACTGACGTAAAACATCCCCCGTCTCCCTAGGGTGCCAGTTCCAGGCAGCCCTGCCCATCATCTTTGAGGAGGGGCTCTGGGAGCTGACCCTGTCCCCTGGGCTGGTGGCCGCATGGACACCATCTCCAGTTGTCCCCGCAGCTCACTGCCCAAGCGCCGGCTCGGTCTGCTCACTGCCCACTGGGCTCGTTTCCGCTGCCCTGAGCTTCTGGGTCTTTCCTGAGCTCCTTCTGGGTGACTGTGTGTGTGTGTGTGTGTGTGTGTGTGCGTGCGCACGCGCGCGTCTGCTTCCTTGTGACAATCTTGAATCCGGTCCCCCTGGGAAGGGCATTCTGTTGGGAGGGGCGCGGTGGGGAGGCAGACTCAGCTCAGAGCATCAGGACCAGCTTCTTGGGGAAGGGAGGGTATGGTTGGAGTGCTCTGCTGGGCCAGGGGCACTTCTGCCTGGCGGGCAGCAGGGAGCCAGAGCGGCCATGAGCAGGTCCGTTTCCCCAAGTAGAAGAAAACCTGCCGGCCTGGGCGAAGGGAGCAGTGGGCAGCAGAGGGGGAATGGACGTGCCTCTCGCCTCCCCAGGCGCTGTGATTCCCCGTGTCCTTGCAGGCACTGTCTCCGGGCTGGGGTTCTGTGCTGTGTATCCCCACGGCTCCTTATCAGGGCCCCTCACCAAGAAGCGCCCCGAGTGCTGGGAGTCCCTGCAGCCAACCCCCACCACGCTGAGGCTCAGCATAGGCAGCTTGAGGCCTGCGTCCAGCACCCCATCCCCCCCCGGCCCCGCCCAGCACCCGCTGCCCGTGTGCCAGAATCTGGAAGCAGCTCTGTCTGCACTGGGGGTTTGCGCTCCTTTGTTGAGTGTTTTGTTGTTGTTTGGATTGAGGTGAAATTCGCATAAACGTAACCATTTCAAAGTGAGCAACTGAACTGAATGGCGTTTAGTGCATCGATCAGGTTCAATCAGGCTCTGGAGCATCCTCATCACCCCAGACAGGCCCCACACGCGGCAGTACCCACTCCGGCTTCTGCGCCCCCGCGCATGGCCACCGCCCATCTGCCTCTGCCTCTGGACGTTTCCTGGAAGTGACACGATACCACACGTGTCCCTCTTGTCCGGCCCTTTTCACCCAGTGGTCTGAGTCTGGGGTTTGCCCGATTTCAGTGGGTCCGCGCTCCCTTGTACCGGGCTGACTGCGCCCTCATCCGCTCACCTGCGGGTCCACATTGGGGATGACATCTGCAGGCGAGTATCTGTCTGAGTCCCCCGTCTCAGTTTACCCCCAGAAGTGGGGTTCAACTTTTTGAAGGAGCCAGCAGACTGTTGTCCCCAGCCCCCTGCTCCACCTCCCCTACAGGTAAGCACACATATGCACACCCCTGCACGCATGTACGTGCACACATGTGTGCGCACCCAGTTCTCATCCACCCTAGAGAGGCCATAGCGCCCGAGGGCGAGCTTGACACAGGCTCGGCCCCTTCCTCGAGCTGGATGCCCCAGCACGCGAGGCCACCTCCCAGGCCTCCTGGGCCGCACAGGGGCTGCCCTTACCTGTGGCCTCACCAGGAGCTGGGGGGAGGCCCAAGCCTCCAGGTGACAAAAGCCCTGTAGGCCCCTGTGAAGGAGCCAGTGCCCCTCCAGGAGTTCTGCCAGTGTAGCAGGGGCCCTGGGGTGAGTGTGCTGTCTGGGCTGGCCTGGCCTGCGTGTGGGCAGCGTGGAGCTGGCAGAGGAGTTCTGCTGGGAGCCCTCGGGTTCAGCTCTGCCTTCTGCCAGCCACGCACAGCCTGGCTAGAGAGGGAGGCTGCCTGGAGCCTCGGCCCCTGGAGCGCTCTCCCTGCCTGCCCTGCGGCCCTGAGGGCTCTGCACTTGCTGGCAGGTTTGAGGACACCCACTGTCAGCCTCAGAGGTGGGGGTGATGTGGCAGGCAGATGTTAGGTCAGGGAGAGAGGTGGTGTTTGGAAGCATTCTGGGGGGAAGTGTTTGTGAAGTGTGGAGGCTGGAGAGGCAAGCTCAGCCAGTTTGGATTTGGGGCTCACCTGAGCCCTTTCTGTCACTGGGCCACCCACTATCAGCCCGATTGCCCTCTACAGGACTCTGCCCATCCCTGGGCTGGCAGGATGCCCCTCTCTCGTGGCATTTGCATGCTTCCCATCCCACTGCGCCCTCTGCCTCCCCAGGCACCCTCTGCTCCAGCTCTGGCGTTTGTCCTACCTGCTTCTGACCCCCGTTCCTGGGGCTCCTTCCGCCAGGACATGGAGCTGATGGGCAAGCACATTTTCCCCGCTGTGTGACAGTCTTGCTGGTGGGGACATGCATCACGCCCACCACTGGGCCTTCGCGTGTGTGGTCTGTCATATGTGGCCAACACAGCTGTCAGAACCCTGAGTGGAGGGCTGGCTTGCAGGGGTGAGTCCAGGGGGAGGTAGATGGGTGTCTGGCCCTGCACATAGGCCGGAGCAGCAAAGCTGGGGGTGGTGTTGACTGGGGCCTTGACCAGTGCCCAGGAGCTCATCCATTCCAAGCCGGGCCTCATGGGACAGCTGGTCCTTCCTGGAAGGCAGCTGCCCTTCATGGAAAGAAGAGCAAAACCTTAGTTCATGTCCCTCTGGTGGCCCTGACTCCTGGTCGAGCCACCTCCTGGTGAGGTTGTGAGTGAGATGGAGTGGGTGCCCCTTCAAAGCACTGCCTCCCTCCCCTGGCCAGCGCTCAGTGTCGGTGTTGTAAAGGTTTTGTTTTTTCTTTTTCAAAAGCCACTGTCCTGGCAGAGAGAGAGCTTTCCATCCCAGCAAATGCTGGCCCCTGGCTGCAGAGGCTGCATGGCCAGGACCCTGGACAGCTCTTGGTCTTGGCATCCTCTTCCTCGTCCAGTACCCCAGGCTAGGGCAGGCTGCTCTTCTGTCCACCCACCATCCCAGGCGCCCCTCCAGGTTTTGGTGGGTTCTAGCCTCATTGGGTCTATGCTTTCTCTGCATCTGAGGTGGTGGCTCAGGCCCCTCCCAAGCAGCCTCTGGCCCCAGGGAGAGGGTATGGGGACCCCCACCCAGCCCTTGCAGGCAAAGTGGCCAGGGGTCACAGGTCAAGCCTCGCCCTGGGTGTGTGAATCCAGGGACCTAGGCCTGTCCTCCTAGGCCTGTCCTCCTGCCGATCAGCCGTCTCCCGGGGAGGAATGCAGGCTGCTTACGGGCGTGGTCGGCAGGGACGGCAGGGGCTTCCGGTGTGGGCAGAGAGTCTGGGGAGATTAGAGAAGAGCTAGTGGTGTGACTGAGACCCGCAGCTGTGCCAGGGAGGCCCTCCCCCTTGGATGCCGTGGCCAGAGGGGAGCCGGCGGCCAGCCTCAGATGCCAGCTCCAAAGTTGAGGAAGGTGCCCAGGCTGGAGGTGACTGGTGACAGTTGGGACCGGAATCCACTTACTCATTTTTATTTTTAAATGTAACTAGTTTCTTTTGGAAGCAAGTAGGTACCTGTTTAAATGGGATGTAAAACTTGTTCACACCCTGTAGTCACCAGGATCCACATTCAAGTCGTGCGGGCCGGTGCTTACCCGGCTCCGTCTGCGCGAGCACCGCAGTGCCTGCCACGGGGAGCTTGGCCCTTGCACCCGGGGCCTCTATCTCCTGCCACCCCCACTGGTGATGCTGGACACCCCGGGGCCCCCAGCCTGACCTGTGCCTTAACCCTCACCAGCCCCACAGAGCTGTTGGTGGTGTCCTCAGTATAGATGAGAGCTCAAGGCTCAGAGACGTCAAGGGCCTGGCGGAGGACGCACAGCTGGTGCAGGGCTGCCGGGCTCCACCTGCAGAAACGGCTGTTGCCTCTTCCACCCAGCCCCTGCCTCCTCTGAAGTCACAGCTGTGAGGGTGGGAGCAGAGAGCCCAGGTTCTGACACCAAGATGCGGGCGGCCGGGCCGCGCTCCCCTGCAGGCTCCCTGGAGGTCCTTCCTGAGTCTCAGGTGCTGGGGGGCCTTGGCTTCCTCAGCTGTTGGCCGCTTCCCCCCACCTCAGCCTCCGGCTCCATGGGGCTGAGCCCCGTCTGCTTTCTCTCCTTCAGGCCGGCAGCTGTTGGGTTATGGCCCATCCCGCCCCAGGGTGAGCCTAATCACACCCCCGAGACCCTCTTTCCACACAGGCTCATGGTCTGAGGCTCCAGGTGCCACGAATGTAGGGGAGGCCCTTCAGCCCACTGTGCTTGGTAGACCAAAGCCCCCGTCCCCACATGTTCTAGAAACTGAAACCAGAAAGAAGTGACTTGCCCAGGTTGGGGGAGATCTGGCAACAGCCAGAGGGTTTCCCTTGAGCTCATGCTGTGAGCAGGGCGGGCCCTGAGTGCTGCCCTTCAGTGACCAGTCACCTAGGCCAAGGCACACTGTGCCCACCTCCCCATCTGCGCATCGGGTGCACACGGCAGTGCGCTTTTTCTCACTGCAGTGAGTGAAAGAGGAGGCCCCTGCAGCACGTAGCACGGCCTCTGCGAAGTAGAACTCATGTAAGACAGTGTCCAGGAAGAGATCACTGTTTGTTGCAGAGTTGGGGCCACATTCCAGGAGCTCCTTTCAAGAGGGTAGATGTCCCCGCTCTGACCCCATCTGTGGCCTCTACCCGGGTCTTGTTTGCTGAAGGGAATGGGGTTGCCCTTGGCCCGTGAGGATGGAGGGCGTCTTTGTGCCTGGGGCTCCGTGTGCGTGCTGCGGTGTGGGCCCCGGCGCCACCTGCTCTTCAGGAAGCTGACCGGAGATGGCCTTGGCGATGCCGTCACGTCACCATGGAAACAGATGCTGGCTTAGGTCACAGCACCTGAGCCTCGGGGTTTTCTGCATCAGCAGAAACCGGAGCTTTCGGGCCCTGGGAGGACATTTGTGAGTGGCAGAGAGACACAGGGTGCCCCAAGTGTCCCCCCCCCCCCGTCCAGGCAGTTCCCTTCCCACTGCCTCTAAATCTGAGTGCGCACACAAGGCAGGGTCAGGTTTTGTTTGTTCTGTTTTTCACCAGCTTTATTGAGATGGAAGTCACATACCACAGAATTCACACATTTAAAGTGTACGGTTTGGCAGTTTTTCGCATATTCATGGAGTTGTGAAACCTCCACCACAATTTAGAGCGTTTCCATCACCCCAAAAGATGTCACTCTCTAACTCCCCCATCCGCAAGCAACCCTTCATCTACTTTCTGACTCTGCCTTGGCCGTTCTGCCTCTGACTCCATTTGGGACATTTCACGCCAGCGGGCTCCCTCGGCACACGGTCCTCGGTGTCCGGCTCCCGGCACGCGCTCGAGGCCCATCCACGTGGGGCCTGTATCGCAGCTTCTTTCCTTGTTATGGCAGATTCCTGGCCCCTGGGTGGGTATCATTTATCTCTCAGTCCGTGGGTGTGTTTCACTGTGACTGATGCTGCTGTGGATTTCCGTGTTCAAGTTGCCGTGCACACCTGTGCTTTCGGTTTTGGGGGTGTACACCTGGGAGTGGAATGTCTGGGTCCCAAAGTAACTCTCCATTCCGCTTGTTCAAGAACTGCCAGACTCTTCCCCAGGGGACTGCCCCATGTCACGTTCCCACCAGCCGCGTCCGAGAGCAGCAGTTTCTCTGCATCCTCACCGCCACTCGTCACCACCCTTCCTTCCTAACCGCCTCGTGGGTGTGAAGTGTCTCAGTTTTGATATATGTTTCCCTCAGGGTTAGTGACAGTCAACTTCTTTTTATGTTTTATGCTTATTGGCCATTTATTTGTCTTCTTTGGAGAGATGTGCATTCAACCTGTTAACCGTTTTTGACTTAGGCTATTTCTTTCTTGGCTGTAAGAGTTTTTATATATTTCGGACACAAGACCCTTATCAGATATAGTATTTACACAAATCTCCCACTCTGGGGGTTGTCCTTTCGTTTTCTTGGTAGCCTCCTTTGATGCACAGAAGTTGTTTTGTTTCAATGAAGTCCAGTGCAGCAGTTTTTATTTTGGTTGCTTGTGCTTCTGGTTTCACATTTAAGAAACTGTTGTGAAATCTGAGATCATAAAGTTTGTCCCTGTGTTTTTTCCTAAGAGTTTGTTACTTTGTGCATTTGATCCATTTTGAGCTCATCTTTATATATGGTGTGAGGTAATGATCCAGTTTCACGCTTCAACATGTGGGTATTCACTTGTTCCAGCAGCACTTTTGGAAAGGCTGTTCATGTCTGTCCCCAACCCCTGCTACTACTGAATGGTCTTGACACCATTGTTAAAGACTGAAGATTAATGGACCATAAATACATAGGTTTATGTCTAGACCCTGGTCTCCGTTCCACAGAACTTTCTGTCCTAGGTCAGCTCTACACTGCTTTGTAGTAGTTAGTTTTGATATATGAGAGAGTGATTGCTCCAAGCTCGTTTTGTTTTTAGGTCATTTTATCTGTTTGAAATCCCTTACGATTTCCTATGAAGTTTAACATCAGTTTTTGCCTAAAAGGCCATTGGGCTTTTGATAGGAACTGCCTTGGATCAATAGATTGCTTCGGGGAATATTGACATCTTAATGATACTAACTTTCCTGTTGCGTGAACTCAATGTTGCATACTTTTCAACACACCAGTCTTTCACTGCCTTGGTTAAATTTATTCCTTGGTTCAATGTTTTGATGCTATTGTAAACAGGAATGATTTTTTAATTTCCTTTCTGCGTTGTTTGTTTCTGTGGGTTGGTTTTATATCTTGTGACTTTGCTGGATCTATTTATGAGGCCTAACACATTTTGGAGCGATTCTTTAGGCTTTTCTCTATATAAAATGATGTCATCTGCAGATTGTTTTACTTCTTCCCTTCCAATTTGGATGACTTTTTTTGAGAAGTGTTTTGAATTCTTTATTTGATAGTATATATAAATCACACTAAAGTGCCTATCATTAAGTAAAAGACAGTGTTTTAGATACAGGGAATTTGAATTAAGTTGACATCATTAAGATCAAAGATATGAAAATGGACATAGCTGGCTGGTCTTTAGCCCTTGCCTTTACCGAGCGAGTGAGTGCAGCTTGAAGCATGGGTGAGTCTTGCTCTACCCCATGAGACAGTGCAGGGATAGAATCCCATACGCAGTTATCTAAGTCTAAATATAAAGCTCCTTCTCCAGGTCTGGAGATGGCATTCCCAGCTCTGCCCAATGTTGCCAACCTCACCCAAACATATATTTAAAGTGATGGCACTTGGGCCTCCCTGGTGGCGCAAGGGGTTAAGTCTCAGCACTATGTAACTATCTGCAGCTGCTGCAGCATGAGTTCAATCCCCAACCAGGGAGCTACGCACATGGCGCAGCAGACCTCTCCTGTCTCTCTGCTGCTCCCCTCAGCAGTGTATTTCAGTACATCTGCTTGTTCTGCTTCCCGCTCTGTCTCTGATGAATCCTCTCACCCCCTACACCTCTGGCCTGCACCCCAGCTCTTGTATGCATAAATAAATAAAATAACCTTTAAAAAAAATAGACAACACTTGCTGAGCTGCAGTCACTGTCAGAATTCAAAACGCCTGTCCTGTTCATTCAACCACAAGACAATCTTCTTTAAACAAGGACTGTCCAGCAAAAAGAGTCTGTCAGCCACCTGGGGTCTGAATTCTGGTGAATGCGAGCCACTTTAACATGGCCCACCCGGAAGAGCCGGGAGGCATTTCTGTTTCGTAATAAATAAGGCAGAGCCAGCGGTTACGCATTAGTGGCTTTTTTGAGGTGAGCCGCCACCCTGGCCTTCCCGCCTTTCCCAGCTGAGATCCTTGCTGTCCCCGGGAGGTGCTGTTTTGGGACCTCCACACCTCATTGGTGCCTTTGTTCTCGTTGGCTGGATGCCTCTTGCCATCTCTCCTTGCCCAGTCCCTCTGGCTGGGGACTCCAGTGCAGTGGATAGGAGGGTGTCGGCGCCCCCTCTTCCTCCTGCTCCAGGGAACACACTCAGCCCGGGGCGGAAGGAGGGGATGCTGAGGCTTGGGGGGATCCCTTCAGCCTCCTGCAGAGGTGATGAGGAACGCAGAGCCTGGGTCTGGCCTTAGGGGTCCTGAAGGGACTGGGAGGGGAGGCTGGGAGGCCTCCTGCGCCCCTCTTCTGCGGGGCGCTCTGGCCCCTGCTCATGGAGGGCGCTTTTGTCCCGCAGAAGAAGAGCCGCAACGAGACGTTTGGCGAAGGCAGCGGCGTGGAGATCCTGGAGAACCGGCCGTACACCGACGGCCCCGGCGGCTCCGGGCAGTACACGCACAAGGTGTACCACGTGGGCATGCACATCCCCAGCTGGTTCCGCTCCATCCTGCCCAAGGCGGCCCTGCGCGTGGTGGAGGAGTCCTGGAACGCCTACCCCTATACCCGGACCAGGTGGCCGCCCCGCCCCGCCCGCGTCCCCGCGGGTGCCCGCACCGCCAAGTCCCGGGGTCAGGGCCGGGGCTCGGACATCGCCTGCCCCACCCGCCTCCTCCCATCTGGGCCCCGCCTGGACCCGGCCTTGCCCGCCTGCCCGCAGGCTCTGGCCCGGACGTCCCACACCACGCTCGCCAAGTGCAGGCCCTGACGCTGGTTTCCCCACAGGTTCACGTGCCCTTTCGTGGAGAAATTCTCCATCGACATCGAGACCTTTTATAAAACTGATGCTGGAGAAAACCCCGACGTGTTCAGCCTCTCTCCCGTGGAGAAGAGCCAGCTGACCATCGGTAACCGCGCGCCTCCATGCTCCCAGCGGGCTTCCCTGCCCGTGGGCCCCCCGGCCCTGCCCTGGGCTCCGGGCCTGGCAGGCTAGGAGAGGCTTTCCCCCCTGGACTCCCCTTGCTCTGCCCCTTCCAGGTGCCCCATCCCCAGAAAGCGCATGTGAGCTCAGGGGGTGTCTTAGGCTGGCTGCCCCAGGGGGTGCAGTGGACTCGTGGGTCCTGGTCGAGTGGTCTCCACTCTACTCCCCTCCCATTGACTGCCATGCTGGAAACAGACCCCCCCCTCCCTTTTTACATTTTCGAGAGAGGCCAGAAATCAGGATTTTCATGCAAAATTTCCCTCTACCTGAATGTTGGCAGTAATTAGTTCTTACAAACCTTTGCAAGGAAACGTGTGTCGGCTAAGCAAACACACCTGTGGGCCAGCTGTTTGTTGCCCCAGATCTGCAGCCGCTGGCTTCCAGGCTCACAGGGGTGGGCCGCTGGGGAGGCACCAGGTGCACGGCTGACCTTGGACAGCACCCCAGGCGCCTGAGGACACCCCACTCTGCCTCCCTCCTGCTGCAGCTTTGGAGCTTTCAGGCCTCCCAGGGGGTTGGAAGCTCTATTGCCAGGGCTGAGCCACTTAAATCCCAAAGCTCATTGTTTCATGTCTGGAGGCCAGAAGTCCAAGGTCAAAGTGCTGGCAAGTTGGCTCCTCTGGGGTCACTGAGGGGGACTCTGTTCCGTGCCCCTCTCCCAGCATCTGGGGGCTGGTGGCGACTTGGACCTTCCTTGGCTGTGGCTCCGCTCCCCAGGGACCTTGCCTCCCTCCTCACAGACCTTCCCTGGTGCCGTGGCCATGCTGGGCGCCCCCTTTTGTAGGCACAGCAGGCACGCGGGAGCCAGGTCCATCCCAGTGACCTCAATTCAGTTTATTGATTTGTTGAAGACCCTGTCTCCAAGTCAGCTCGCATTTTGAGAGGTGGGGGTCAGGACTCTAGCATATGAGTTTGGGGTGGCAGGGGGACAGTTTCTGCCCATACAGCATGCAACAGACCCCCCGCAGCTCTTGCCCGGCCAGCCCTGGCCCCAGCTTCCTAAGGCACATCCCGGTCTTGGTGGCCTGTCCCCTGCAAGCCCCACTCCAGGCTCGGTGCAGGCAGGCCAGGGCCTGGGGGCAACGTCCCCGCACGTCTGAAACAGGTGCTCTCTGAGCCACACGGCCTGTGCTAGGTTCCTTCACAACAAGGGTGTAACCGGCCCTGTCTGACACTCAGCCGGGTCAGGAGCAGGCACACAGGGCGGCTTCACTTCCTGGGGCAGGAAGCACGTGACCAGAGATGGCCTGGCCCAGGTCCTCCCCAGACGCCCGTCAGGTGCTGCCGCCCCCCGTCCTGGTTCCCACATACCCAGTTCTGTGGCCTCTGGGGCCCCTTGCAACCGGGTCCAGTGCCGGCCTGGCCCTCCAAGCCTGTCTTTCAGTCTCCTCCCTCTGTCTTGGAGGGTGTTCCTTGCAGGCCTGCACCCCTCACCCTGACCCCGGGAGTAGCTCTCCTCCCCTGCATCCTGCCCCTGCCCTCGCGTACACCCAGGCTGCCCCTGGCCCCCCCACCTCTCCGCAGGCGTCACCTTCTCCACCTCAAGGCTCTGCTCTGTAGCTGGAGCACCATCTCTTCTGGAAGCTCTTCCCAACCTCCACCCACTTCCCCCTTCCCCTCCTCAGTGGGAAGGAGGGTGATCTCCCCCATCCCCCTGCTTCCTCAGCACATCTCCCCATAACTTGCTTCGTGCACTGGAATGTACCAAACGGGGTTTGCCAAAACGACGTGAAAAGGCAACAAGGAAAGATGCAGGCCCCGCGGTCCGGGGATCAGGGGCAGAGTGGCCGGGAGCATCACCCTCAGCCCCGTGTCTGACCCAGAGCCCCACGAGGATGTGGGGTGGGGACACGGGGCGAGAGAGACGGGGTCGAGCAGGGGAGGCCACGGTCAGACAGTCGCCACTCGAGCATCTCCCTGCAGACCTGATCGACATCGTCAAGGATTCGGTGCCCCCCAATGAGTACAGGCCGGAGGAGGACCCCAAGCTGTTCCACTCAGTGAAGACGCAGCGGGGGCCCCTGTCGGACAACTGGATCGAGGAGTACAAGCAGCAGGTGTGCCCCCTCATGTGTGCCTACAAGCTGTGCAAGGTGGAATTCCGCTACTGGGGCATGCAGTCCAAGATCGAGCGCTTCATCCACGACACGGGTGAGCCCCCGCCCCCGCCCCACCTCTGCGGCCTGTCCTGTGCCCCCTGCTCCCAGGTCCTCCCCGAGCCTGCGTGCACTTGAGTGCTTGCAGCACCTGTGGCCCCTGAGATGTGAGGGGCCCGGCCCTGTGCAGACACTCCCGGCTCGTTTGTGTCTGCAACATGCAGCACCCACCTCCCAAGGGGGCCAGCCCCAGGGGCAGCTCCCTGCTGCTCACCAGGGTCTCCGCGCCCAGAGGCCCAGACCCCAGGCCCTGCCCCTCCCCTGTTGCACTGGGTGCTCCGAGGGCCACGTCTTGTACATCAAAGCGTCCTCACATCCTGCCGCCTGGCTGGAGCAGGTGACCAGGGAACAGGGGCCCAAGATGACTGGGGTTCCTGCCCGCAGGTGCTGACCCCAGATGCTCCCTCCCCTAGAGCCCTCAGCTCCGTGGCTTTGCCCAGGTCACAGCACGGGGAGCTGGATGGGGGCTGAGCACAGCTGCCCTGTTGGCTCTGCATGAGTCCGACAGCTCGCAATAAGCCGAGATGGTAGGAGTAGTGGTCGGAAGCCCGGCCTCACTCCAGGGCACCTGCTCCAGCCTCCCAGGGCATCTCATCAGTGAGGGCGCTGGCCAGCCCCAGGGTGCCAGGCCCAGCGCAGGCTGCAGGGCACACAGGCTGTCCTGGCTGAAGGCCAGCACCCCAGGAGTGGGTGAGCATAGTTTCCCTGGGAGCTGTAGCGTTAGCAAGGCCGGCTGGGGAGACAAATAGCCTGGGAGTGGGCACAGCTGACAGGGAGGGCTGTCAGAGAGACTAACCTGGGGCCAGGGAGTAGCCTGACCTCTGGGAGAAATCAGAAACCAGAAGATGGGAGCCTGGAGACCCCAGGACTTCCTTCTTAGCTTGGTTCCCTGGAGAAACTCAAAGGCACATTCTGGATTGTTCAGCAGATTTGTGCAAGCAAAGGAACAAACAAACAGTGAATGTGAGCCAAAGGCCCATTGGCAGGAGAAAGAACAAATACTGGGTTCTTTTAAAATGTGGTATCTCTCACAAATAAACACCCACAGCAGGACACCCCTCCTCCCTCCTCCCCAGGCAGAGGGCAAAAAAGTGCGGCTTGTGACTCTGCACGCTGACAGCCCTGGCGGGGAAGCGCAGGTGTGGCTGACCCCAGAGCAGAGGTGGCTTGCGAGGCCTGACACAGACCTCACTTGCCCCGTCCTAAGAGAATAGTTCCATGAGCCCTAGTACAGTCTCGGTCCCGAGCGCAGTTCTAGAACATTCCACCACCCCAGCATCTTTCGTTCCTGTTCACAGTCACCCCCTCTATCACCCCCGCCCAGATAATCCTCATCTGCTTTCTATCTCAACAGTTGTTATTCTTCATGCCTTAAAAGCCATCTTAGTATTTTATGCAGGTAATATGTATCTTTTTTAAGTATCTTTTTTAAGGAAAAAAAGGCCAACCTGTTTAGAACGTGAACTCTATTTTCCATGAGAAATTCAAGTGTAAATACCGAGAGAGGAGGCTCAAGGGGAGTGACCCTCCTCCCCTGCTTCCCCCCCAACCCAGGGCAGGGATCCCCCAGAACTCAGTGCGGCCTCCCAGCAGACAAGATCCAGTTACAGACCTAGCGTGAGCCTGAGAGCCACTGTGAGCCAGCCCTCCCTGCATGGGGAAACCGAGGCTTGGGCTCAGTGATGCTGGAGGCTGCGGGCAGCACCCGGCGTCAGCGCTGCCCCTCCGCTCCCCACCCTCCAGGCCTGCGGAAGGTGATGGTGCGGGCCCACCGGCAGGCCTGGTGCTGGCAGGACGAGTGGTACGGGCTGAGCATGGAGAACATCCGGGAGCTGGAGAAGGAGGCGCAGCTCATGCTGTCCCGCAAGATGGCCCAGTTCAACGAGGAGGACGAGGAGGCCGCCGGGCTGGCCACAGAGGAGGTGGCCAGGAGCCCGGCCTCTGGGGAGTCCCCCCCGCCCAGCAGCAGCAGCAGCGGGGAGCCCCTGGCTGGCCGGGGCCTGAAGAAACAGTGGTCCACGTCCTCCAAGTCCTCGCGGTCGTCCAAGAGGGGAGGTGAGCGACACCTGACTGCCAGGCCAAGGCCCCTGCCTCTCCTTGCCTCGTTCCCCCGGCCCCATGGGCCTCTGTCTCTGGAGACAGGCGCTGCTCCCCACGGCATGGGCCACGCCCAGAGGGGCCTGAGCCTTGTCCTCCACCTCAGTGTGAAGCCCAGGGCCCCTCCGCCCCCTGCAAATCCCCAGATTCCCCTCCACAGCCTCATAAGGCAGAGAGGCCAGGGCCGCCTGGGGACACTGCCCCCAGCCTCTCCCAGGACCAGGGTCTGCACATCCAGAATGTCCACCCTTCCCTCCCCATGTTCTCCCCATGCAACTCGGTGGTGCCAGATGGGCTAGGGGGCCCATCTTGAAAGTTCCGGAAGCTTCCATGAAGATAAGTCCCAGCTGCTCGGGCCCCTCATTTCTTTTCGAGCCACCCCCCTCCTCCACCAGGGAGCAGCCTGGGCGGGGCCCTGCCCCCTTGAACCTCCCTGTTGGGGCCATCAGTCTGGATTTTGCCTTCCAGCCAGTCCTTCCCGCCACAGCATCTCCGAGTGGAGGATGCAGAGCATCGCTAGGGACTCGGACGAGAGCTCGGACGACGAGTTCTTCGACGCTCACGGTGGGTAGGCTCCTGGGCTGCGGGGAGCCTTCCCGGGAGGGGCTCAGGCAGGGGCCTGAGGGGCTGAGCTTTGGGAAGTCCTGGGTGGATGGCACGATGGGATGAGATGAAGCCACCAGGAGGCCAGGTCCCTAGAGCCTGGGGTCTCAGGGCCCCCTAGCCAGGCCTGGCAGGTGGGGACCATTCTTTCAAATTGCCCCAAACAGGATCTACAGTCCGACTTCAGCTTTTTCCCATGTGCGAATTTATGCCTCTAAGAAGTTTTACAAAAACAAAACTTCATGCAATTTTCTAATTTTTTGTAATCGCCTCACTTCTTCGTGATTAAATGAATGCACATTTAATGTGAATGCTCTAGAAAGTGCAAACAAGCAGAAAATACGGGTAGTGCCCATTTTCCACCAATCTCAAAACCAGCTCAGCGTGCACACAGCCAGGTGAGCCAGCCATCTGCTCTGGGAAGGTTCCAGAACCACCCTTGCCATTGGTCTTGGGGCTGGCTGATAAGCACCAGGAGACAGGGTCCAGTGTGTGGCTGAGGAGGCAGGTCGCTGCTGACTCCCCACTTCTGGAAGCCAGGCCTCCCGGGGGCCTCCTGCCCAGCCCTCGAGTGCAGTGCTGAAGCCCCTGTCTCTGTCCTCCAGAGGACCTGTCCGACTCAGAAGAAATGTTCCCCAAGGACATCACCAAGTGGAACTCCAATGACCTCATGGACAAAATCGAAAGCCCTGAGCCAGAGGACACGCAGGGTAATGGCTGCAGGGCCAGGGGCCACCGGGCCGGGCTGCTGCAGGGGCTGAGCCCCTCTGACCCAGCTTCCTCGAGGTGCTGGGCACCAGGGGTGGGGGAACACCTGAACCCCTATTGTTCTGTGGGCTGGGGCTGCCTGGCCACCCTCGCACTCAGCCCTGTCCTCCGTGTTGCAGATGGCCTGTACCGCCAGAGGGCCTCCGAGTTCCGGGTGGCCTCCAGTGTGGAGCAGCTGAACATCATTGAGGTGGGTGCCTCGAGGGGTGGGGGTGGGGCACAGAGGACCCAGGGCAGGGGCAGGGTGTACAGGACGGTCCCGTGGGGGCTCCAGGGGCAAGCGTGGCAACCACCACCTCACATCCACATTGGACCTGGGTGCCCTTCGAGAGAGGGTCCTCCTCAACTTGTCACCTCCACCCCCCGAAACCAGCAGGGCCTGCAGACAGCCCCCTAGGACCCACCCCTACCCGTGAAAAGTAAAAGGAGACGTTTGTAAATTCCAGAGCAAAAGTAAGGTCTCCTCTACCTTGTGCCCAAACTGTCTGCTGAGCCTGAAGAAAATAAGATGGAAGGGGAGGAAGCAAAAGCCAGCTGCCGCCACCCTGCCCCGAGGCAGGGGTGCTCTCGGTGTCCAATAAAGCTGTCTTGGCCCAGCGACTGTGTCCGCTTTGGGGGTTCTTTGCCTGGAGTGCACACCCCTCTCCTCTGCCTGTGGGCGGTCAGAGCTGTTTGCACTGGGGCAGGAAGCGGGGCCGAGCTGGGCGGTGCAGGCCATGGACCCTGTGCCAGTTCGGGGCGCTGCCATCCAAAGCAAGTTCCTTTGTTTGTGGTAACCCCCAAAGCAGAGCCTCCTCTCCCGGCCTTGCAGAAGAGGGGTGGCTTTATGGAGACACTGGTGGGGCCCGCCTGGCTCTCCAGAGCTGCCCCCGCCGGGGTAGCCTCAAGCCGCCCCGGGTGGAGATGGCACCTCCGCGGGGACTCGGGACCCCTGGGGAGTTTGCATGGGGGACAGCCGCACCACCCTCCCCCCTTGGGGTTTTCTTCTTGAAGAGCTGAGCGGGCTTTTCCAGAAGGCTAATGGGGAAGGAGGGGCAGTGCCTTCCAAGTGCTGATTAACAATGAGGGAGAACAAACGGAGCCCACTCCCCACCTAGGCGCACACAGCTCTGACGCCCCCCGGGAGGACAGACAGGCCTCAGCTCCAGATCTGCCTCGGGATGTGCACGGGGTCCTGTTCCGATTCTGGGGCGCTGCCATCCAAAGTCAGATTCTGTTGCCTGCAATGACCCCCAAACCGGAGCTTCCTCTCCCCTCCTGCGGGAGGGGCTTTATAGAAACACCCATGGGGTCCCCGGCTCTCCAGAGCTGCCCTCACAGCCTCCGGGGCACTCTTCCCGCCGCCAGGGTGTGCCCTGGAGACAGGAGGCTGGATGGGAGGGCAGCTGTGTCTTGGACCTGCTTCTGCAGCCCAGACCAGGCCCGGCCTCCTTGCCAGGCCCAGCAGACGAGCATGGGTGGCTCTCAGCCCCCACGGCCAGTGGTGGCCAGTCTGTCCTGGGAAACCCAGAATGTGCAGACTCCTCCTCCCGGCAGGTGACAGGTGACAGGAAGGCTGTGGGAGGGTTCCTCGCGAGTCCTCCCCTCACTGGGTGGGGAAAGCCCTTGGCTCCTTGGCAGCGCCGTCCTGGCCTGGGTCTGGGCAGCTGGTGGCCCCACCGTGCTCTGAGCAATGAGTTCGCTCTGCCCAGGTGGGCCAGGGACAACCCACAGGTGGGCACAGGAGTCCGTCCTAAGCTCTTCTGGGTGTGGGGTCCTGATCATGCCTCGGGGCTCACGACAGGCCAAGGGCCAGCCTCCTCTGGGGGTGGGGGCAGCCAGCCTTCCCACCACTTCTGCCAGCCCACCAGCCGCCCACCCCCCCAAAGCCCTCCACTGTGGCTCCCGCCCAGCCCATTCCCAGATATCTCCCAGTGGCCTTGCCAGCCCCCGGGCCCACCCAACTCTTGGACTCTGCACTGACACTGGGTCCTGCTGCTGCCCCACCTCCCACTGTCTGGTCACCCCATTCAGGGCCAGCTGTCCCCACATGGGCCCGCCAGGGGCTTCAGCCCCTTGGTCCTGTCTCTCTCCATACCCCCAACATAATGCAGACTTGACAGTTACCAGTGGGACCCACTAAGGCACCAAGCCCGGCCTCCCAGTCACACATCAGAAGCTGGGGGCTGGGTGGTGCCTGGGAAGGGATGACAGCCTGCGCTGGAGGCATGCAGAGTTGGCAGCAGGAGCGCCAGGTTCCGGCCCAGCTTGACACTGACGTGCTGGGTGACGTGCTAAGTCCCTGGCCTCTCGGGGCCATTGCCTTGCTGTGTGCAAGTCTTGGGTCTTGCTTTGACCTTGTGAGCAGGAGGAGGAGGAGGGGTCATTGCCCCCTATAAATGAGGGGGTGTTGAGTAGGCACACCCGCAGTGTCCCCCTGCTCTGGGACGCAGGGATGTCTCTGTTCTTGAAGACGCTGGGGATGGTGAGAGTCCAGCACTGGCAGGGCCTGGGGCATGGGGATGCCCTGTATGGATGTGGCGGGGAGCTCAGAGCCGTGCCAAGGGGTGGGGGTGGGCTCACTGCTCACTCTGGCTGAGATTGCCTCAGACACGGACGCTCGGGATGGGGCTGAGCCGCTGCCTCCTGCCCATGGCCAGCGCCCTGGTCACCCTGGCCCTGTGTGTTCCCTCCGCGTGTCCTCTGTGCCCCTGGTCAGGCTGGCAGGCAGAGAAACAGGGCTTCGGGGAGGAGAAAAAGGACCCTCTCTGTCTCCTCGGGAGCGGGAAAGATTAGAGCAGCCGACCCCAGGCCTGTAGCTGAGGCACAGAAATCGGAGTTCTCGGGGGGCAATCGGTCGAGACAGGCTTCCCCCCAGGGCAGCGGGGGCCTTGGCGAGTGGCTGAGGCTTGGGGAGCTGACGCCCATCCTCGCCCGCCCAGGACGAGGTCAGCCCGCCACTGGCCGTGCCGCCCTCCAAGATCCACGTGCTGCTGCTGGTGCTACACGGGGGTACCATCCTGGACACGGGCGCTGGGGACCCCAGCTCCAAGCAGGGTGACACCAACACCATGGCCACCGTGTTCGACACGGTCATGCGGGTGCACTACCCCAGCGCCCTGGGCCGCCTCGCCATCCGCCTGGTGCCCTGCCCGCCCATCTGCTCCGATGCTTTCGCCCTCGTCTCCGAGTGAGTACGCCGGCCTCGGTCAGCAACCCTCACCCCAGGTGCCGGGACCCCACCCCCATTCACGCCGCTCTTCCTGGAGGCAGCAACACCTACGCACTGATGAGCTTAGAGCCCCGAGGGCCCGCCCAAAGCTGAGCCTCAGTTTCCACAGCTGTGATGTAGGGATGCTGTCCAGCTCTGAGGTCCAGGCTCTTAATCTCTGGTCCTGCTCCCGGGCCAGAAGCTGGGTCACAGCTAAGGCTCCCAGGGTGGCCGGCGGCTCCCGTCTGCCTTGCCGCCTAGGCCAGGGGAGACAGACCTCTGGGCTGAGCAGGGTCACCTCTCTCCTGACCGGTCCCTTCCCCCAGCCTCAGCCCCTACAGTCACGACGAAGGCTGTCTGTCCAGCAGCCAGGACCACATCCCCCTGGCCGCCCTGCCCCTGCTGGCCACCTCTTCGCCCCAGTACCAGGAGGCCGTGGCCACGGTGATTCAGCGGGCCAACCTGGCCTACGGGGACTTCATTAAGTCCCAGGAAGGCATGACCTTCAATGGGCAGGTGAGTCACAGAGTGGGGTGGTGGGGGACAGGCAGCAGAGCGTCGGGGTGGGGGGTCTCTCCCCAGCCAGCAGGATGGCGCTCAGCCCCACACCCCTCCCCCAGGTCTGCTTGATCGGCGACTGCGTCGGGGGCATCCTGGCGTTTGACGCCCTGTGCTATGGGAACCAGCCGGTGTCCGAGAGCCAGAGCAGCAGCCGCCGGGGCAGCGTAGCCAGCGTACAGGTAGCAGCTCCCATGGTCCCAGGGCAAGGCGGTGCGGTGCCGGGAGGGCTGGAGGGGTCTCTGGGCTTGCCAGAGGACAGAGGATGCCAAGTCCCTCACCTGGCAGGCGAGGAGGGCCTGTGGGAGCCAGGCTAGGCCAGGTGCAGCACCGGAGTCGCGGCTCTCCCTTCTCTGGCTTGGCAAGAAGCTGTCTGGGCAGCGGCCTCTGGGCTTGGACTCGGGCAGGAGCACCCAGCTCCCAGGATACTGGAGGGGTAGGCCTGTGGTCACATCAGTGAGCCTGCTTGGGCCGTTCCAGGACACTGACCTGCTGTCCCCTGGGATCCTGGTGAACGCGGCGCACTGCTCTGGCGGTGGCAGCGGCCTGGAGAGCAGCCGGCACCTGAGCCGCAGCAACATCGACATCCCTCGAAGCAATGGCGCCGAGGACCCCAAAAGGCAGCTGCCCCGCAAGAGGAGCGACTCATCCACCTACGAGCTGGACACCATCCAGCAGCACCAGGCCTTCCTGTCCAGGTGGGCAGGGCTGCGGGGGCCTGGGACCCTGAGACCCGCTGCCAGGTGAGGCCAGGGCTGTGGCGGGGGAAGCTGAGAATGAAGATGCAGACCAGGCCTTACCTGTGGCCACTGTGATCCTGGTAGTCACCAGCTCTGCCCTGGGAGGCCCGGGCTGGCCCACACTCTCCAGCCAGGAGAAAGTGGCTTGTCGAGTGCAAGGGACATCTTGAGGTGGGGGAGCACTCTCCTGAGGGTGGAGGGGTGTGGCAGAGATGGGCAGCTGGCCCAAGGCACTGACCTCCTTAGACAGGTTGGGACTGGCTGTCACCAGAGGTGACCCAGACAGGAGGCACACGGGGCAAGGCTTGCCCAAGCCCGAGGGCTAGCCCGAGCAGGGCGGGCGTGAGCTCTCGTGTGCCCCATCTGCAGCCTCCACGCCAGGGTGCTGAGGACTGAGCCCGGCTCCCGCCGCTCGAGCAGCTCCACCATGCTGGACGGTGCGGGGGCGCTGGGCAAGTTTGACTTTGAGATTGCCGACCTCTTCCTCTTCGGGTGCCCACTGGGGCTGGTCCTGGCCTTGAGGAAGACTGTCATCCCCGCCTTGGATGGTGAGAGCCCCATGGGGCCAGGGTGGGGTACATGAGCTGGACAGAGGACCTTGGTGGACCCCTATCATGAGCCCGGGGCCACATCCCAGGCCCCTTCCCATGTCACCCCCAGGGCCAGATGGAGGCACACCCAGTCTCCCTAGTCCGAGGTCCCACCGTCAGGAACACGCTCTTAGACACCCTCTCAAAACCTCCGCGAGCAGCGGCCTCCCAGCCCTGGGGGTGCCGCTTTACACTGCTCCAGAGACCCTGGTGACCGCAGCGGGCTGGCCGTTTGGCACCCCCCGGTTAAGAAGGGAGCCATGGAGGCAGTAGAGGCCTGTGCAAAAGTGCACAGAAGCTTTGGGACAGCGGTTATGGTGACGTTATCTGTAAAGAAAACTCAGAATCAACTTCAGCTTCCGTCAGAGGAGAGCGGAGCTGGTCAATAAATTCTGGCTCAGACAGACAGGTGAATCTGCCCGCCCCCCATTTAAAAATAATGGGGCGGAATCAGGGGTACGGAGCAAAGGCTCCGACATTTTTGTGATAAATGGGGCAGGGGACAAAGTTCCAGTCACAGGGCGTGCACACCTGTTGGTGTGTGTTTTGATCAGAGGCACACGCTACCCGTAGTTCATGCCCGCGGTCCTAGCAACCGGGTGCGGCCCGGACGGGCTTAGCACAGCAGCCCAGTCGCGCCAGCCGCGGCCTGGCCGGTTCCGTCCACACAGCTGGGCCGCACCTGCCCTGACCGCGGCCCGGGAGATGCTCCGAGCGCTGGCGGCCTGGGCTGGAGGGCAGCCTTCTCCCCTCTGGACTCAAAAAGAGTCTTTACCGCGGCCGTAATAGTTGTTTTTTCATTAAAAAAAAAACAAAAAAACAAATGGGTTCGCAAAGGGGAAGGCCCCAAACAGACCCCAATTTGGGGTTTTTCCATGTCCCAGCCCTGGGCGTCCCCCACCCACCCCTGCTGTCCCACGGCTCAGGCCCCCTCCCCTTGGGCGGAGCTGACTCTGGGACTGACCGCCGCCTGCCCCCCAGTTTTCCAGCTGCGGCCCGCCTGCCAGCAGGTGTACAACCTCTTCCACCCCGCCGACCCGTCGGCCTCGCGCCTGGAGCCGCTGCTGGAGCGGCGCTTCCACGCCCTGGCACCCTTCAGCATCCCCCGCTACCAGCGCTACCCGCTGGGCGACGGCTGCTCCGCGCTGCTCGGTGAGCCCCAAGCCCCGCCGGAGGCAGGGGGGGCGGCCCCTTCTGCGCTGGCTACCCCGTGTGTGTGCGGGCGCCCCGGCCCCCCACCAAGCCCAGCGCGGCAGGAGAGACGGGTCTCACGGGCCAGGGACCGGGGACCAGGCTCCACTCCCCACTGCCCCATGAACTGGGGACCCCAAGGGATGTGGCCGGCCCTGGGCTGGGCCCATGACCTGAGGACAAGGCAGGGGGGTGGCAGGGAGTGAGCGCGAGGGCCCCGCGTCCGCTCAGGCCCTGGCGTGTGTCCTGGAGTCTCGTCACGTCCTAGTCGAGAAGCCCGCGTGTGTGTGTGTCCAGCGTGTCCCGACGCCCCACACGAGTGTCCGTTCTTGTCCTCTCTGTTCTCTCCTGTCTGCTTCCAGTCGAGACCGTGCAGAGAAACCCCCAGCTGGTCCTGGAGGGCGGCCCCCCGGCCCCTCTCCCGCCCGGGGATGGCTTCCTGGAAACCAGCATCCCCGTTCCCGCGCTCTCCTGGCAAGACGGGCCCCGCCCGAGCCCGGGCTGTGCTGAGTGTGTGTGACCCCCCCTGCTCGTGGCGGTGTCTGCTTGGCTGGCTGCCCCCTGGTCCTCAGGACCACCCCCATGCCCTCCTTGGCCACTCAAGTTTGTGGAGACCCGGCAGGACAGGTTACGGGGACCCGCGCTGTACCTGGACCCTGCTCCCTGGCGCACGGCCACGGGGGCCCTGAAGCGGAGGAGGTCCAGGAGCCCTCGGGGGGGGGGGTGGTCCCCCAGCCCATCAGCGCCGGCCAGGGGTTCCTCCGCTTTGTGAGGCTGGCAGTGGCAGCCAGGAGGGTGTGTGAGGCCTCCTGCCCTCTGGGCCCCGGGCCCTGCCCCAGGAGGGGCCTTTGCTCCCAGTGTAGGGTCCCAGCTCCTCCCTCGTGAGGAAGTTCAGGCACCTCCTCTAGATGTGGGTCCCCCTTCTCCCTGCTCTGCCCTGCCTCTGCCTGGGCCCAGGGGAGCCTGGCCTCAGCCTTCCACTTGCCTTTGCCCCCAGGTGCCCAGGCCACGTGGCATCTTTGTGAGGGATGTCCAGGGCTGTGGCTTCGGAGTGCAGCCCTGGGCAGCCACCTGAGAGCTCTGTTGTTAGCGCCCGTCGAGCACAGGGCAAGCTGCCAAGGGCTGTGGGTCACACGGGCTGGGCTGAGCCCTGGCAGCCAAGCAGGGGAGGCTAGGTCAGGAGCCACGTGCGGGATAAGAAGGGCGGCCAGGGGGGGCCTGAGCCTGGCTGCCTCGCCTCCCTGCCCGCTGTGTCTGTGTTGGTCTGTCTGTCCGTCCCTGTCCCCGCCCTCTCTTCCCTGCCGCGGCTATGTGCCCTGCCCTCCTGGCCCTGAGCAGATGGGCCCTGGCACGCTTGGGCCCACCCCACTCCCAGCTGTGCTCAGATGCCAGGGCTCCTCTGCAGCTGGAGGCGCCAGCCTTGCCCACCCCAGGCCAGGCGCAGGCGCTGCTCGGGGGCTAGAGGCTGGGCCAGGCCGGGCCGGGCCCCTCTAACACTTAGGCCTCGGTCCTTGTCCTGCAGCGGATGCGCTCCAGGCTCACAACACTGTCTTCCAAGAGCACACCACCCCCTCCTCGCCTGGCACGGCGCCCACCACCCGCGGTTTCCGCCGAGCCAGTGAGATCAGCATCGCCAGCCAGGTGTCGGGCATGGCCGAGAGCTACACAGCGTCCAGCATCGCCCAGAGTGAGTGCAGCACGGCCGGCCTCCCCGGACCCCCCGCTGCCAGAGCAGGACCCTCTGCCCCCTTGCTCGGCCCCAGGAACTGTGTCTGGATACCTAGGCGCGGGTAGAGACCGGGGGTGATACAAGCCCCCTCCGAGGCACAGGACGCCCCCACAGCCAAGAGCGATCTGGTCCCTGGGGCCGAGACTTAGAAACGTGGTCTCAGCAGGACCCTGAGCTAGAACGGCCTGGCCCGGCACTGCCATCCGGACAGCTGGGAGGCACTGAGCCTGGGAGGAGGGGTGCTCGCTGCAGAGGGCACCCCTGCTCCCTGAGGGAGAACGCTGAGGAGCTGGTTCTGGACAAGGCCGCGGGAGAGGGCTGGAGAGGGCTGAGAGGGCCAGGGGGGCGAGGTCACCCCGGAGGCTGCCCCAGGAGGCAGAGGGTCTGAGGCCTCCTCTGCTGTTGGCTCCTGCCCTTCTCAGGGGCTTCTCAGCAGCTGGAAGCAGAGTCCTGCTCGGCCCTCTCACTCCCCCAGGGCCCTGCAGGGCCTGGCATGGCTGTCCCGGAAGGGAGGCCTGTCTTGGCCAGGCCCCGGCTGCCCTCCGGGTCCCTCCTGTGCTGCGGAGCCCGTGCGGCTGAGTCCTCCACTGTTCTTACTTCTCAGAGACCCCAGGGCCACTCAGCCACACCCCCAGCGTCAGGCGCCTGTCCCAGCTGGCCCTGCCTCCCCCATCCCCCACCACCCCAGGGGCCCGTTCACAGGCCAGGCGGTTGAGCCCTGGTTTGGAGAAGGCCCCCCACTTCCCTGACATGGACATCAGAGAAGGTACCCGGCAGGGCAGGCCCTCCGCCCACACACGCCCTTCTCTAGCTGGGCTCACTCACCGTCTCTAGGCATGTCTCACTGCCAGGCCGCCCCTGCTGCACCCCCATCCTGGCACCTACCGACCCCACCTCACCTCGCCCTCACCAGGGAGCTGGAGGAGGCTTGGTCTAGGAGCACTCAGCCATCCAGGGAGGCGGCAGGAATGGGTGGAGTTGACTGTGGGTGCCCACAGAGTAGGGAAAGAAGCGGGGTGAGGACCCAGGGGTTCCCCAGCAGGCTTCAGACCCGGCCCAGAGAATCCCTCCTATAAACAGGGGTTCTGATTACTGAGCAGCTCTTGCGTGCAGCTACCAGGGGGCGCTGCGCAGGCCTGTCTGGAGTCCAGATTCACACCCAGGCCTTCGGGTTTGAGGGTCCAGCTCCCGGAGGCTGAGGAGGATGGCAGGCTGTGCTCTGGGCTCCGAATTGTTGCTCCACCTCTGCAAAGCCTCTCACAGCCTCGGGGCTCTGGGGGCAGACAGAGGCGGGGGCCCAGGACAGGGCGTCACGGGATCAAGGGATCAAGGGATCGGGCTTGTCCCGTCCCCCCGACCCCACCAGCTCCTTGAGGAAAGCCGAGCGGCTCGGGCTGAGGGCACGCAGCTGCTTGCACACTGGCCTGGCATCCCGCGCTCTCCCCAGCCCTCTGCCACCCAGTACTTTGCGCCTTTTTCCTTGGTGGGCTCTTGGGGCTAAGCCAGGCCTGAGGGCCAGGTGACCCTCCGGGTCCCTGCCCGGCGCTGCCCAGCCCAGTCACGGCCGCTCCTCCTGGCAGTTGCTGCCAAGTGGTGGGGCCAGAAGCGCATCGACTACGCCCTGTACTGCCCCGACGCCCTGACAGCCTTCCCCACCGTGGCCCTGCCCCACCTCTTCCATGCCAGCTACTGGGAGTCGACGGACGTGGTCTCCTTCCTGCTGAGACAGGTACCCTGGGGTCCCACCTCCAGGCACACACAGGCTTCGGGAGGGCCCCTAGTGTCACTGCCATGACAGGGCCCCTTTTCGTAGCCAAGGAGGGCAGTGGGCCCCTGCCTCTGACCCCCGTCAGACCACAGAGCAGGCAAGATGGAGGAACTGTCAGGGCCGTCGAGATGGGGTGACTGTATTTGCACATTTGCGGGACAGATGTGAATGTGGGGGGTCCAGAAGATAGGCTAGAGTGGGTTAGTGTCACCACAAATCCTCACAGGCCCGTATTTCTGGCTCCCAGGGTGGCTGGCTTCTGCCTTCCAAAACAGAAGGCCCCGGCCGGGAGCGTGCCTCACGGCTGCCTCTGCCCGTCCCCTGCCAGGTCATGCGGCACGACAACTCCAGCATCTTGGAGCTGGACGGCAAGGAGGTCTCGGTGTTCACCCCCTCAAAGCCCAGGGAGAAGTGGCAGCGCAAGCGGACTCACGTGAAGCTGCGGGTGAGGGTCCACGCGGCTTCCCCCCGGGAGGCCCCCATCTTCAGATGGGGAAGCCAGTGGCAGAGCAGGGTGCGGGGTTACCTGAGCCTCCCGCCCGCGAGGCCGGAGCACTTTCTCACGGACAGCCAGGCCGGCACCGTGAGGCTTCCCGACTTCCCCAAGGCGGCGCAGTTCCGTGGCCAAGCTGGACTCCGACCTGGGCAGCTGGCTCTAAGCTGTGCCCACCCTTCAGGCCCGGGGGGCTTGAGCAGAGCTCGGGAGACCCCCAATTCCCTTCCTTCCCATCCCAACCCCGCCTCACTCCTTCGCTCCCCAGAACGTGACCGCCAACCACCGGATCAATGACGCGGTTGCCAACGAGGACGGGCCGCAGGTCCTGACGGGCCGGTTCATGTACGGGCCCCTGGACATGGTCACCCTGACCGGGGAGAAGGTGAGGACCCGGGGGCCTCCTGCCTCGCCTCCCTCCAGCGGGGGTGCGGGGAGCGGCGGGGCCGAGAGCACAGCCTGCCATGACCGACCCCCCCCAGGTGGACGTGCACATTATGACGCAGCCGCCCTCGGGCGAGTGGCTGTACCTGGACACGCTGGTGACCAACAGCAGCGGCCGCGTGTCCTACACCATCCCCGAGGCGCACCGCCTGGGCGTGGGCGTCTACCCTGTCAAGATGGTGGTCAGGTAGGCGCCTCTGCCAGGAGCGGGCTGGGGCCGGAGCGAGGGCAGGGGTTCTGATGAGCTGCCCCCCCCCCAGGGGAGACCACACATTCGCCGACAGCTACATCACCGTGCTGCCCAAGGGCACGGAGTTTGTGGTCTTCAGCATCGACGGCTCCTTTGCCGCCAGCGTGTCCATCATGGGCAGTGACCCCAAAGTGCGAGCTGGAGCCGTGGATGTGGTGCGGTGAGTGGGCAAGAGGGACGAGGGGGGCACGCAGAGGAAACTCTGGAGCCTGGGCGTGGAGCAGGGAGGGTCCTGGGTGCCACAGCGAGGGGCACTTGACCCTGTGGGACTCTGGGCCAGGTATTTAACCTCTGATGTGGGTGGGGAGGCGAGGCTGGCGACAAGCCGGCTGCAGCAGCTGAGAGGGCAGCTGTGGGGTCACAGGTGGGCACACGGGCCTGTCGTTGCCGCCGTCACTGCTGCCATCTGATCAGAGAGGCACTTCTCGGTGGCCCAAGCTGGGGCTGGCTGGCCAAGGAGACGGGGCCCAGGAGGGAGAACAGGGCAGCTGTGGACACCCGGGCCTGCCCCCGCCCCCAGGCACTGGCAGGACCTGGGCTACCTCATCATCTATGTGACTGGCCGGCCGGACATGCAGAAGCAGCGTGTGGTGGCGTGGCTTGCCCAGCACAACTTCCCCCACGGCGTGGTGTCCTTCTGCGACGGGCTGGTGCACGACCCGCTGCGGCACAAAGCCAACTTCCTGAAGCTGCTCATCTCGGAGGTGGGTGCCGGGCGGGGCCTGTCTGGGGTGGGGGAGCTGTCTGGGCGGGGTCTAGCCTGGGGCGGGTTGGGTGCCCACACCTGTCTTCTCCATAGCTGCACCTGCGCGTGCACGCGGCCTACGGCTCCACCAAGGACGTGGCGGTCTACAGCTCCATCAGCCTGTCCCCCATGCAGATCTACATCGTGGGCCGGCCCACCAAGAAGCTGCAGCAGCAGTGCCAGGTGAGCGGGCCCGTCGTGGTAGGCAGCAGGGACTGGAGGCCCCGAGAGCTTGCACGTGACCACTGTCCTCGCCTCTCTCCCCTCCCGACCCAGTTCATCACCGATGGCTACGCGGCCCATCTGGCTCAGCTCAAGTACAATCACCGGGCGCGGCCAGCTCGCAACGCAGCCACCCGCATGGCACTGCGCAAGGGCAGCTTCGGCCTGCCCGGTCAGGGCGACTTTCTGCGCTCCCGGAACCACCTGCTCCGCACCATCTCAGCCCAGCCTAGCGGGCCCGGCCACCGGCACGAGCGGACGCAGGGCCAGGCGGACGGCGAGCAGCGGGGCCAGCGCAGCATGAGCGTGGCGGCCGGCTGCTGGGGCCGCACCATGGCCGGCCGGCTGGACCCAGGGACAGCCGCGGGCCCCAAGTAGGGCACTGGTGGGGAGGCGCTGTGGTCTCCATGGTGCTAGGCCAGGGCGGCCAGCCCCGCCAGGAGGCCTGGCCTGGGCACATGCAGTCGGATGGGGACACGTTTGTCCCAGGGCCTGGCGGAGGACACTCCGTGTCACACGCAGCCCTTCAGCCGTGCCTCATGTCCTGGGTCTGAGGGGTTCCAGCTGGTGGAAGCTGGCAGGACAACCAGCCTCAGGAGGACGGAGGGGCCATGTCCCCTACATGGGCGGGCACAGAAGATGCTCCTGGACATTTGCCCTGCCTTGACCTCTGGCATCCCGACGCCAGGCCGGGGCCCAGCCTGCCACCTCCCGATTCACTAGCTCTCGGCGACCCCCAGGCCCAGTCCTCCTTGGTAGCACCTCCAATGGGGTCCAGCCTGCTTCTTGTTAATTTAAGTTACTCAACTGTTTAACCTCACTGGTTTTGCACTGATTTCTGAGAGCGGAGACCCATGATCATCTCCTATGGCTACGGACTTGTTGACACGCGTGACAATTCAGTTGGCTGATCCAGGACCTGTGGCCGCTCGGAAGGCTCCAGGGCAGCTCGCCTTGTCAGAGAGGAGAGAAGGCCATATCTTCATTTCTGCAGCACTGGACCCCCGCCCACCTGTCCACCTGCCCCACCTGGAGCCCAGCCCAGCTGCAGGCCTGGGTCATCCATGTCCCCGGGCGCAGCCCGGGCGACAGGGCCTGCGAGGCCAGAGCCGGCTCCTGAGCAGCCCCGCCTCAGGCTGTGGGGCCTGGCCCGGCCTGGCTCCTCTTCTGCTCCTCGCCTGCCGTCACTCAAGGCCCCAGCCTCGGCCCTCCTGCGGCCCTTCTGCGTTTCTACACCTTTCTACTCCGACCTGATTTCTATGAGGTTTTTTTAATGAGCAATCCTTGGCTGCTTCCGTTTCTTAACTCTTTCAGTACCAAGCGCAGCCCCTCCACATGAAAACACCCAGCACTGTGATGGAGTCCAGCCTGGTTCTGGGTCCCGGGGCCCTGCCCTCTGCCCACGTGGCAGGGCTCCCTGCCTCACCTGACCCCGTGAATTCCACTGAATTTCTACTCTGGGACGGGTGGGGCACACACTTAGATTTTTTTAACGCCAATTCCTTTTCGATGCCGAATCTAAGAGTCACAACTAGCTTTGTTAGCTTAAGGGCAGGCAGCCACGATGCCACCTCCCACCTGGTAAGGACCGTGCCATCCTGCATGCCAGGTCCGAGCCTTGACCCTCCTTCCCCAGCATTACCCAGAGCTCAGCCGTGGCTCTCGGCTCAGGGCAGCCCCTCTGCTGCTCCATCTGCTCCAAGATTGGGGATGGGGGAAGGGTGCGGGGGGGGGGGGGAACGGACCCCTGCCGGGCCCACAGGCTCCATCTCTGAGAGGCTGCTGCCAACCTGGATACGACCTCAGGCCCCCACGCCGGGACAGGGAGGCACACCGGTCGATGTTGACATTTTCCCGTGTGTAGATATGTACAGCCAAAGGGTTGTGTAAATGTTCTGCAAAAGTGGGTCTATACAGAGTGAAAGCTATTTATTTTGTTCAGAGAAAAAAGTCTGGAGGGATGGGACCTTCAGGGTTTATTCATATTTAAGATGTAGCTTCTTGTTGTTGTTTCAGGCGTTATGTATAAAGCAACGATTATTTTATGGACCAACTTTTAACGTAACTGTTGCAGTGAAAGTGCAATATCTGCCCCCTCGCCCCCCGGCGGGTATCGCTTGGCCTGACAATCACAGCCCGGCCGGTGGCCCTGTGGCCAGTGCCTCCTCCTCCCTCAGTCCCCCTCACCCCGCCTGCCGCCTCGGTGACCAGCCATCGGGGGTGGGGGGGTGGGGGGGGGAGCCCCTGCAGTCTCGGCCTGGCCTGCAATAAAGGCCGGGAGGCCTCCTGGCCTGAGGAGGTCTTGTGGGCAGAGGGCTCGGCCCCTCCCTACAGGCCACTTCCCCAGACTCTGTGCTCCCCTGCCCGCCTGCCTGCCCAGCGCCAGCCATGCCAAGGACAACAGCAATAGACCCCTGGGCCTCTCCCGGGGGCCCTTAGCCATAGGTGGTGAGACGGGCAGCCCACCCTCCCGTGACGTCTCTTCTATATCCAGGTCTGCTTTCTGCCCCCCTAAGATTCCTTTTGGCACATTCTCCTCTTGAGGAAGCACCAATTTTACAGAAACTAAGAGAGGGAGGGCAGAGTCCTTTAAAAATACCAAAAATGTTTACAGCGTTGGGTGCTGAGCCGCAGGGCTCAGGCCTGACCAGTCGTAACCAAAGGGTGAGGCAGGCCTTGCCAGCTGCCACCCCACCCAGGCCTCTTAGAGTAGAGCCTTAGTCCCGCTCCCGCCCGCCCCGGCCTCAGCCCCCCACCCCACCTGTCCTCTGGTTTCTAAAGAGGGGTTCAGCGGAGACCCGCCCTTCCCAGCTCGTCTGAGCTGCCTGCCCCGTCACGTTGCAGTCTCCACGTCTCGGCCCCCTCCCCTTCTGTCTGTCTGTCTGTCTGGGCCCCCCGTAGCAGTGTCCTGACTCCCCCCACCCCTGCTGTCCCTGCACCGTTGGGCCTGAGTGTGCTCTGTATACAGTGTCACTGTCTGATACACCGATTAAAGAAGCAGGAAGGCTTCCTTCTGGGTCTCGTTACTGCACTGGCAACGGGGTGGGGCGGGGCCTGGGCAAGGTGGGCGCCGACCCGCCCAGCGGACAAGGGCAGCCGCTCACAGTGACACCGACGCTCACAGTGGCCTTCCCCTGGGCGGGGCCCTTTTAGCCCCTTCCAAGGCGGGAGCCTGGTTCATGCGCACAGCGATGCAGCGAGGTGGGTGCCGTCCGCCTCCGCTGTACAGAGCGCTCGGCGGGCTGGGCCGGGATTCCCACCGGGGCCACTCGAACCTCTAACTGCTGTCACCCCCAGAGTCAGTGGCAAGAGCATCTCCCTTGGAGCCCGAGGGGATCAGTTTAAGAGCCACGTCCCTGGGTTTGAGACTCATCTGGGGGTGAGGATGGGGTCCAGGCAACCGATGTGAAGGTAAGCGCAGAAGGGTGCTCAGGACCACCAGGGCACACCCCAGCTTCCTCCAAAGCTCCTGGAACGCTCCCCCCCCCCCCCCCCCGACAGAGTCAACTCGTACTCCTCCCTCCTGGGCACAAAAAGCAACAGAACAGAAGTCTCCAACCAGGGGCCATTTAATATCCGGGAAGACACACTCTCCGGAGCTCGGTGAGCTGTTTGGGCCAGTGACCCAGCCCTCCGCCTGCGCTATCTGACAGGAGCCTGGGCCGCAGGCCAGTGAGCGGGAGGGAGGGCAAACAGCACCCGCCGGACCTTCCCACCCGCCACGAGGCCTGCCTGCAGCCGCGCCACCGACACTGTCCGCAGGCCTAGGGCAGCAGCCCGGCCCGCATCTGGAAAGCCAGGCCATCTCCTCGGGTGGCTTGCTGGGGGTGAGAGCACACGGGAGGGGGGGTCAGAAACAGAGCTGCGGGGGGCTGCGGGCAGAGGGGCAACACCAACCTTGTTGATCTCCCTGTGCCGCTCTTTGGTGACGATTTCCTCAAGGACCTCGCCATCGCCCTTAATGAGCCTGGGGGAGGAAGGGGAGGCTGAGCCTCGGATGCCTGAGCAACAGAATCAGAGCCACCTGGCAGAGGGGTACCCGGCTCCGGCCCCCATCATCTAGAGCAGGCGGAGGCCCGGGTGCTTGCGCCCCCAGACACAGATCGGAAGCTGGGTGTCCGCCATCAGACCAGCCAGCAGTGGCTCTGAAGATTCTCGGGGCCTTTTAGTCCCTACTGTTGCTCACTCCGCCCTCCTTGGCCTTGTCAGAGCAGCGGAGGAGCATCTCCCCGGGCGTGCCTGGGCCGAGCGCTGCCCACCTGGTGCGCCCGGTCTCCGGGTCCACCACCTTGCGGATGACGCTCTGCCGGGCATCCCACTCCTGCTTGGTCATGGGCTTCATGGCCTGGATGCGGGACTTCTGCTCGTCCGTCAGCACTGGAGGGCGAGATGGCAGCGGGGTGGCAGGCGGGCCTGGGGGAGGGCACCCGCCCCGTCCTGCACCCTCAGCAGCAGTACCTGGGCCCTCCTCTTCCTCCCCCGCTGATCTGTGCCACTGGTCCAGAGAAGGTCCTGGCAGAGCCTCCGTCTGCAGCAGCTTTGCCTTCTCCTTGCCTTTCTTCTTCAGCTTCTTCTTCCTCTTCTTTTTCTTCTTCCTCTTCTTGTCCTTGTGCTTCCCCCGCTTCTTCCGGCCATCGCTGGAGGAAGAGGAGGAGGAAGGGGAGGAGGACGAGGAGCTGGAAGAACTGGAAGAAGAGGAGGAGGAGCTGGACCGTGGTCTCCTCCGGGCCTTGTGCTTGCTTCTCTCTGTGATGCAGGGAGAAGGTGAGGCTGGAAGGCCAGGAGGGGAAGAAGTAAACCTTCGTTCCCTTGCTCTGGCTTGCGGCAGGCTCGGGCCCACGACAGCGGGATGCGGCCCTGCCGGCAGGGTTTCCAGAGCAGGACTCGACTCTCCAGTCTCCGGGAAGCCCCATCCGCCCAGCTGCGTAAAGTGCACGGTTAAGGGCTCCCTCCGGCCCGCACTCAAGGAGCCAGCCCAGCCCCCGGCGCCTGCGGATCTGCCACCCCGGACCTCCAGGTCCCACCCGCCGCCCCTCTGACTGCTGCTGCCTGCGGCGTCCCCTCGCCGCCCCGGAGGCCGGCCCCGCCCGCGGCTGCGCCCACGAGGTTCCCGCGGCCCTGCCCACGCCCGCGGCCCTCACCCTCCGCCCCACAGGGGGTGGCGCTGGCCTTGCGGCTGCGGGCTCGGGACGCCGAGCGGCTCCTCACGGGGTCCTTACTGCGCTTCTTCCTCCTCCGTCCCGACCCTCGCCCGCGGGACCGGCTGCGGCTCCTCGAGCGCTTGCGAGCGCCGACGTGCGCCATGGCGCCGCGGCCTGGGCACCGGAGACGCGGAGTCACCGGGAGGCACGCGGCCGGCCCGCAGACCGGCTCCTCGGGGGCCCGGGACCCATCGCCCCCCCGCGGCGGAGGATGAGGGGGTCGGGGGCAGCCGCGCGCCCCTCGCCACCCCCACCCCGGGGCCCCGCTCTCCGCTGACTCCCGGGGGCTCCGCAGCGGCCCCTTTAAGGCCCCGCCCCGCCCCGCCGCTCCACGCCTGCGCGCGCCACCTGGCGTCCCCGGCCCGGCCGCGACGCGCGGCCCACGGGTGCGCGGGGCGCCCTTCCCGGCGCGCCTGCCCGCCGCGGCCTCGTCGCCTGAGGCCGGCCCCCGAGCGGCTCCGAGCTCCGCCACTGCCCAGCGGGCCGCCCCGCCCGCCCCGCGCCTTCCCGCGCCTTCCCGCGAGGAAGCGGCGCGAGGGGACTTCCGGTCCGGGCGGTGCTCGGGGCGGCCGTCCGGCTGGGAGCGGGGCGCCGCCGCCTTTAGTTCCGACCTCCGGGTTCCGTCTCCGGCGCCGGAGAATCGGAGTCCGCCGCGCCCATCTCCCGCGGAGGCGAGCGGGGGCGCCAGGTGCGGCCTCCAGACCCGGGCGAGGCCGCAGCCCCGGCCCCGAGAGGTGCTCGCGCGCCCGGCCCTCCCGTCTCCGGGGGACGCTGCCTCCCCCCGGGCCGCCCGGCAGGCGCGCCCGCAGCCCCCAGGCCCCGGGGTGGGCACCCGGTCGCGCGTCCCTCTCGCTCCTGGCTGCCTCCCCACCGCGCGGGGCGCTCCGGGCCGCGACGCCCGCGCTTCCCCGCCGTGAACGCGGCAGCACAGCCGCGGACGCCCGCGCGGGCCGCCGAGGTCCTGGCCACGAGCGCGCGGGGCCCGGCCAGGGCGTGGGCCGCGGGCCGGTCCGCGTTGGCGGCCGAGACTGCCCCGGCCAGGCCGCCAGGAGGGATGGGGCTGGGGTCTCCAGACCCTCTTCCCAGGGAGGCCGGAGCTCAGGGTTTCAGTGCGGGAATCCCTGCTTTGCAGACGCGCAGCCCAGACCAAGCACAGCTGCTGCCCTCACAGACTTCTCGGCCACGACAACGCGGCAAACAGAGCCCCTGGGGAGCACGTCTCTCACAGTGACTCCCCTGACTCGCCCAGCAGGCCTAGGAGTGCGGAGGAGACTGAGGCAAGACGCTCAAGGGGCCACCCCTGAGCTCTTGACCCCTGGACGGCGCTCCTGGTGGCCCATCAGGTCCCTTTCCACAGGTGCGCCCTCCCCGCGGCGGGGCCCAGTGCGGCAGCTCCCGCGCACGCTGCTGGGAAGCTTCCCTTGGAACCAGGGCCCTGGTGTCTGGGAAGTTGATACCGACCCCCCCCCCCCCCCACACACACACACACACAGCTACTGGGGGGGGCGGGGACAAGCACCTCTCCTGCCCCTCCCCTGAGGGTGTTCCCTCCCTGAACCACTCACGGAATCCTCCTCTCAGGCTCCACTTCAACGGGCGGCGGAACCTAAGCCCGCCCGTCTGCTGAAAGAATGACCCAGAGCCCGTGTGTCCTTTTGAGCCAACAAGTGCCAAGGGCTGCAGGTAGTTTTATTTCTGCCCCGTGAGACCCAAGGGGGCAGAGCCCTCACCCACCGCGCCACCCCCGCTGGCCCCCACCAGACTCAAGTCAGCGCACACACATCCACCGTGGCGGGCTCCTCCCGGGTGAAGCCGTCGCCGGAGCCCTCGTCGTCCACCAGCTCAGGCTTCCGGCAGCACATGGGGCAGAGGTGGTTGCGCACGGCAGAGGCCCGGAGCCAGACCACGAGGTTCCAGCGCTCACCGGTACCCAGGGGCCGGGCCCCGTGCAGCTGGCCGCCTCGGTGCAGGACACCCTGGCCCACCACATGCTCCACCTCCAGGGGCTTGGCCAGGGCTGAAGGCGCCTGCAGAGGGCAGGGCTGAAGCTGGGCTCTCACGGCTGCCCCAGGCCCTGCCACAGGGTCCCACACACTCACCTGGAAGTAGCCCCCGAAGTAGAGGGCGCCCCCCGTGAAGGCCTTGCCCAGGGCCACATTGAGGGTGAGCTCGGCGTTATCGTAGTGACAGCCCAGCTCACGGTCCTGGTCTGGCGCGTATTTGACCACGAAGGCACGGTGGCTGTCCAGCCGGCCCCCGCCACCGTCCGGGTAGAGCAGGGCCATCAGTGGCTGCAGGAAGCGCTCCCGCAGCGGCGTCACCAGCGGCTCATCCAGGCCCAACTCATGCAGCAGCACCTGGGAGGGGAACCCTGGGTCACGGGAACCGGTGGGGCCTCACTCTGGGTGCTTTGCCAGTGTGAAACTCAGCGTCACGATAATGCTGCCAGGATCTCATTTTACAGGCGGGACCAAGGCACGGAGGGAGCACAGCTTATCTGCAGCCCTGCAGGTACATATCCGCCGCCCCCCCACACCCGGGCCTCACCCACCCCATAGTTGTTCATGGTGTTAGGTCGCCCCTTGGGCATGTCCGACTGCTCGAAGTGCTCCAGCTCCTCCAGCAGGGCCTGGCAGAAGGACGCTGTGAACACAGGCAGCTGGTAGATGCGCTTCTCTGCTGCAGAGGGGGGGAAGGTGTGAGGCCAGGGGCCGTAAAGAGGGGCCGGGTCCAGCAGCGGGGGTTCAGTCTCCTCATGAGCGGTGTGAGCCTGCAAGTCTTTTTCCCTCTCCCCAGCCTCAGTTTCTTCATCTGTGCTCACTGCTCGGGTGGTTGTGACAATTGTCACAGAGTGTATAGAGCAAGGCAACCTATTCTCGTCCACCCTGCCCATCCCTGGAGCCTCTGGTTCAAACTGCGGTGCCCAGGTCTGCTCTCTACACTCAGATATTATCCCAAGGATAATATCCCAAGGCCAAGGGGCCAAGCTGGGACTCTGTTAATAGCCACTGAAAGCTGCACCCCAACCTGAGAGCTGCTTACAGCCTATTTCCCACGGGCATGCTGAGAGGGGCTACTTTTTCCTGCCAGGCCCTGGTAGAGGGAGACCAGCTGGGAATGGATATGTGGGCATTTCTTGGCAGATGCACCCATCATGTGCCCCCACACACTGGTCAAGTCACAGCCCAGCCCAGCCCTACCCAGACAGCCTCAATTGCTGGCGAATGGGTGGCAATGATAAGGCCCCACTGAGGCTGGGAGGGGTGTTCATTCTACATGCCCCTACCACCTCCACTCAGCACAGGCTCCAGGAGACTAGCAAACACCTTTGGGTCCCCTGCGCCCCAGACCTGTATACACATGGCCTTAGCTCTTCCTTACAGCATCTTTGCACACAGGCATCATTATTGTCTCATTTCAGATGAGGAAACCAAGGCAAAGGTTAAGGAACTGGCAATAGCTGCCTGGCCTGGGACTTCCCGGGGGTTGTAGCCCATTGGAGACCCCAGCAGAAGACCAAGGGCTGCAGGAGTATGGCCCCCAGCTCCAGGGCTTCACAGCATCAAGAAATATCACCATTGCCCACTTCTCCAGGTCTAGGCATGGGGACTGCTTCCCCCATTGCAGACCCCTGTGGGGGGGGGTGGTCCTTCCCCATCCTGTGCCAAACCCTGAACCCAGCCCACACCTGTCTCTGCATCAAGGCCGGTGGGCTCAGGCCTGACTGAAGGCCCCGAGTAACTATCTGCGGTAAGTGTGTACACGGGGCCCGTTCCTGGCAGGGTGGTCCTCCCGGCCCTTCTAGCTCCTGCTGGTTTGGTTTGGGGAGGCAGACATGGTGGGTAGAGACCCCAGTCTCCCGAGTCCTGCCAGCTCATGGGACAAAGACCTCACCTGACACAGTCTCCAGCCGTTGAAGAAGGCCCTGGAGGTTTGCACCTGGTGATGTGCTATACTCAGTCGCAGCCAGAAACTCGGGGGCCAAGGCCCCATCCTGGGGGCAGAACACACCATTTGTGGAGCAGGCAGCCCCAGGCCCGAATGCCCCTTCTACCTCCAGCCACCCGCCTCTGCCCCACACACGCTTGCTGGTACCTGCAGCGAGTGGTAGATGTCAGGCCTCGCCGGGCGGTAGGAGCTGGCGATGAGGGCTTTCCTGGCAGCTGATTCCTGCCCCAGCCGCTGCCGCCGCTGAACCTCCTGTTGCAGCTGGGGTGGCACAGGGCCTGGTTACCAGGATGGGGCCTCCCACTCCCAAGTCATGGCACAGATGAGGAAACAGACTCAGGAAGTCAGAGCAGGGCCCAGGCTGGGAGCAGATCTCCCTATACTCCTGATGCCACCAGGGCTCACTGCAGGTGCCAGGTTGGGAGCTGAAGAGGGCTCCTTCTTGAAGGGGGCCCAGTCCCCTCTGGGTTGCACCAACGTGAGCCTGGCTTGGATCAGCGCCCATCTGTGCCCATGGGGGCTGGAGGGAAATAGAGCACTGGCCAAGTGCTGTGCTCCAGAGGCTGTAGAAGTCTCCCCTGGGATGCTCCCACTGCTAACCCCTGGGTGAGAGAGGTGGGAGGGGGCTGCAGCAGCCCTGGCAGTCCCGGGTGGGCTCTCCACCTCCTGACCTGCTGTGAAACCCCAGAGCAGATGACAACCCTCCTTGAGCCCAAGTTGTTCATCTCAATATGGGGTGATGGCTGCACCTATCTGTCTCCCAGAGCAGTTCAGAGGACAAGCTCAGCAACTCGGCATTTTCCTCTTGGTCTGGGGCCAGACCCCTGGGCGCTGTGCATATGGGGGACGGGTGGGCAGATCAAGGAGCCCTTCAGGTGCCTGAGACTGCCACAGGCCTGAAGGGCTGGGAGACGCGCTCAAATGCCTGATCCAGATCTAAAGAGGCAGGGCCAGGCAGGATGTGGTGGGGGCGCGGGCGGGCGAAGTTACCTCTTCCAACAGCTGCTGGAAGTCCAGGGGGCTGACACAGCCTCTGCTGCGCAGCACCTGAGGGCAGGAAGGCCAGTGAGCACGGCTGTGTGACCCTGAGCAAGTCACTTAAAGTCTGCGGGCCTCGGCTTCGCCCCTTCAGGTGGGGGCGAGAGCCCCGACCTCAGCATGGTGCGAGGATGAGCTGCGGGGGACGCGCGCCGGGCGCCCACGTGCGGTCAGTAACCACGCGGTCAAAACCAGACCCCCCAAGCGCTTTATTTCTCGCTACGGAGACGCGACCCCGTTTACGGGGCGAAAACAGGGGCGCCGGGAAGCGGCCAGCGGCAGGGGCCACTCACCGCGCCGTAGTCGCGGCGCAGCTGCTGCTCGCCCCGGAAGCGCACGTGCAGGCCGTAGCGCGCCGAGTACAGGTTCTCGGAGCAGAAGCAGGCGCAGCGGCAGAAGCGCCGCGGGGCCCCCGCCGTCGCCATGGTGAAGGGGCGCGCGCGGCCGCCGGAGTCCGCAGCGCACTTCCGGGTACGCCCCCAGCGGGGGGGGCGGGGCAAGGGGCCGCTCTAAGTTCCCAGGCGCGGAAAAGAACGAAGACTCCCCGCCGCGGGAGGCGGGCTGCGCCTCGGCTGAGAGCGGGCGGCCCCCTTCCCCAGGCGGGGTCTCGTCGCCCCACTGTGCAGCTGGCGAGCCGCGTCGCGCCTCCGCAGGACGAGGGGCGGCAAGGACTCGGGACCCCAAGGCCGCTGACTCAACCGCCGGCTCCCTGCGCGGCCCGCGCTTCCGACGAGCCTGCGACCCCGCGGGCGCCCAGGGGCCCGGTCGGCTCCTCGCCCTCCGAGCGCCACGAACCGTCCGGTCCGTGCGTCTGGGCTTGAGTTCAGCATTTACCCCCAGCCCCTGCCTCCGGGGCTACGCCGGGGCCTGGGGACTCGCCGCGGGGCGTTCCAGGGGGCGTCTCCCGGAAGGGGCCCCGGTGACGTACTTCCGGCGACGACGCGCCCCGCCCCCAGGGCCGCGTGTGGGCGGGGCCGGGGCGCGGTCTGTCGGCGGCCACGCCCCGCGCGGCCGGTTCAGGTGCTGAAGCGCCGCGGCGGGAGCGGCGTCCCCGGCTCCCACGTGGGGTGCGCCTGTCAGAGCACGCGGTGTCCGGGGCGCGGTCCTCGTCCGCGTGCACCCCGCGTCCAGGTCTGCACAGCGGGGGAGGAAGCCGCGGTGGCAGCCCTGTTGCGGAGGGGAAGTAGGGCGCCCAGCGGGGCGAGGGGGCCCGGCCCTGCCCGAGAGCCGCCTCCTGGGCTGCGCGGGCGCGCGGGTGGGCAGGGGCGGACGCGGGCTCCGAGGCGCCAGCTCTTGCCCGGGCTGAGCCGCGGCTTCCAGGACCTGCTCTGCGGTTTGCCACCCCCCTGACCCCCGTCACGCGGACAGCTACTCTGAGCTGGGTACAGAGGGGAAACTGAGGCTCAGAGAGCTCGGTGACCTGCGCCGGGTCACTCAGCAGTAAGGGACAGTGTGCCGCCTGCCCTCCCACGTCCCTGCGCCTCTCCTTGGGGTTCTTGAGGACCCGGTTGAGGAGGGCTTTTGAGTTTCTGTTTGTGCTTGTTGGCACTTTCTTGGCGACCGCGGCCCTCTTTCTCACCGGCTTCACACTGTGCACCTGCACACGCGGGTTCACACTCACGGCATGCATGGTCACTCTGACACAGTGGCATGACTCACTGGTGCAGACCGTGGACTCAGCACACCCCTACATACTCACGTCCTAACACACTCAATCACACGTGCTCACACACTCTCACCACACAGCACTCGGCCACACACCCGATATCCCATGCTCACACTCATGCACACCTCACGTGTGCTCACCCACACCCACTCACCCATAGTCACACATGCCCACACAGGCTGCAAGGCCCTGCCTTCCTGTCTTCTCCATGGGCAGAGGTGGGCCCACCTGCTGCTCCTAAGGATGCCCCAAGGCGCCCGGAGACAGATGGTAGTCCTGTGACACAGTGCTGAGCCTCCTCCCGAGCATCTCCATCCATGCAGTCGGAGGGCCCAGACTCTGGCCAACAAAGTCTCTCTGCCCCTTGCCAGCACCTTGGGAGGAGAGGCCCCTTGCTCTCTGGGAAAAACCTACACCAGCAGTCTCATGGCTTTTCACACTGGTTGGACAGGCAAGACTCTCCTGAGTGGGCTAATGGGTGTGTCTTAGTGTATATGTCTGTGTCTGAGTGCACATCTGAATGCCTGTGTGAGCATGTGAGTACATGCCTGAACACGTCTGAGCATGTAAGTACGCATTTCTGTTTAAGTGTGTGTGTCCATAAGATTTGCATGTGAGCCTGAGTTCTGAGTGATAGATGAGGTCCCTGCCTTCTGAAGTTTGTCAAGGGGGGTGGGTGGGAGTGAGCAAGGAAATAAATACACAATCAAGTTATTTTCATTCAATTGCAGGTGTGAGGAAGACAAACTGGGTGATGGGATGGTGAGTGCCTGGAGATGGCCTCTTTAAACGGGGTGGCCAGGGAAGGCCTCCTTTAGAGTGACATTTCAACTAAGCTCTAAACACTGTAGCCAGACATGGCAGGAGAAGGATCTAGACAGGGAACTGGATGTGCAAAGGCCCTGTGGTGGCTGAACTTAATGAGCACCAGGAACACACAGCAATCAAGGTGAGTCCCAGGGAAGGCCAGGGTGGTGAAGGGGGGCCAAATCATTCAAATCATAGGAGGCCACAGTTAACATTTTAATTTTACTCTACATGCAGTAAGGAAGATGTTTAATCCTCACAAGAAACCCTAGAAGTAGGAACTAACCCCATTTTACAGTTGTGGAAAATGAGGATCATAGAGGTCAAATGACATACCCAGGGTAACACAACTCATATGAGGTGGAGTCTGGACTAGCACCACATGTGACATGCAATAGGTCCCCACCAGCTTGCTGTGTGCTCCTCAGGCATGAAGCCTGAGAATGACAGCAGGGGACCAGCTTCCCCCCAAGGACCCCAGGTCTCTCACCAGCAAGAGACAATATGATTTTGTTCTCCTTCATTATAGTGTTGCGATTTGAGCTCTTTTGCCTTCCCATATAAACCTTAGAATCAATTTGTTCATATTCATAAGATAACTCACTGGGATTTTGATTGGGATCACACTGAATTGGGAAAAATTGACATCCTGAAAATATCAAGTCTCCCATGATAGGGGCATGGAATTTCTATTTATTTCGTTTTTTGATTTCTTTCATCAGAGGTTTGTAGTTTGCCCCATATAGATCTTCCACATATTTTGTTACATTTATACCTACATATTTCAGGTTTAGGACTGCTATTGTAAATGCTATTGTGTTTTATTTTTTAAAAAATATTTATTTGGAGCCTCCCCGGTGGCGCAGTGGTTGAGCGCTGGGTTGCGAAGCTGCCCGCAGCCTCTGCAGCGCCGGTTCGCTCCCTGGTTCCCTCAGGGTCCCACATGGCGCAGACCTCTCCTGCTGCCCGCTGCTCCCCCCAGCAGTGTACTTAGTCAGTCTGCCTGCTCTGCTCTCCGCTCTGATTCTGGTGAATTCTCTCACCCTCCCGCGCTTCTGACTGTACCCAGTGCTTGTATAAATAAATTAATTAATTAAAAAAAAAGAATAAGGAGGAAAAAATAGCTAAATTAAAAAAATATTTATTTTTATTTATTTATGCACACAAAGAGAGGGGTATGCCATTGGTGTTGGGGGGGTGGTGGTGGTGAGAGGATTCACCAGAGACAGAATAGGGAGCAGAACAGGCGGATCTACTGAAATACACTCTTGAGGGGAGCAGTGGGCGAGACAGGAGAGGTCTGCTGCACTATGTGGTTCAGCTCCCTGGCTGGGGATAGAGTTTATGCTGCAGTGGCTGGTGATCCCTTAATAGATTTTAACCCCTGCGCCACCAGGGAGGCCCCTGTGTCTTTTACTTTAAATTCCATGCATTCATTGCTGGTCTGTTTCTTCTTCTTGCTGTATTTACTGCTCTGTCTCCATTTCATTCCAAGCCTGGATCCCTATCGTGTGGCTGCTTGTCTTTGGGGGCTACTTGTCTTCCATCCATGTCTGGGGAAAGTAGTCTATATCCCAGAACTGCCAGAAAAAGTTCTGAGCACCCTCAGATCAATAACTGTAGTTGAAGAGACGGACCTGATGCTTCCTTTCTTTAAAAACAAACAAACAAAAAAACCCAGCTGTATGGAGATATATTGAGATCCATCCATTAAAAGTAAAATTTGACAGTCTTGAATACATCCACAGAGTTGGGTATCAGTCATCAGTTAATTTTCAGAACATTTTCATCATCCAAAAAGAAATTGTACCATTAAGAGTCATCCGCACAATGGTTCAGGCTTAACTGAGCCAGGGTCTATGACTTAGCTGGGTGTGGGGACACCCCACTTGACTCATGTGGCTGCTACGCTCTGGGGGGATGAGAGGAAAGGATGCTGGGAAGGCAGCCACAGGGTGTGCCCCTTACACGTGACGGTCCCCTGACATATGTCTCATGTCGCCACTTGCCTCCCTGTCTATCCAAGCAACACGAGGTACCATGCAGAAGAGGCACAGTAGCCAGGATTTGGGTGGCCCATCGTTGTAGGAGAGGACAGCTATGCAGAGGCATAGAGGTCAAGAGAGAGAAACTGGAGAACTTGTGAACTTAACTGAAGTCAAGGTGCATGTGGAGATAAGGCACGTGGTAAGCTCACATTTGCAAAGTGTGTATGTGTGTGTGTGTGTGTGTGTGTGTCTGCCCCACTATTAGGTACATAAAGGTTCAGCGTCATCCCATCTTTCCTAAAAAGAATCCATGCACTGAAAGTTTACCGTATGCTCTCTTTTATTTATTTATTTTATAGAGGCATGTTTTATTTATTTGTTTGTTTTGTTTATACATGCATTGGGTACAGTCAGAAGCACGGGGGGGGGGGGGTGAGAGAATTCACCAGAGCCAGAGCGGGGAGCAGAGCAGGCAGAAGGACCGAAGGACACTGCTGAGGGGAGCAGCGAGCGGCAGGAGAGGTCTGCACGCCATGCGGGACCCTCCTCTGGTGGCCGGGGAGCAACCAGGGATCGAACCAGTGCCGCAGAGGCCACGGGCAGCTTCGCAACCCAGCGCTCAACCGCTGCGCCACTGGGGAGGCCCAAGTTTACCATATGCTCTCACCTTCACAGCACCAGGATGTAACAGGTATCTTTATTACTCCCAATTCTCTGATGAGAAAATAGGCTCAGAGAGGCAAAGTCACCTTCCCAAGGTTGCCCAGCTTGGTTTTGGACCCAGCTGAGGATACCCACCCAAGGCAACTGGAAATACAGGCACATGTTTGCTTCTGCGTTTGCACAGGTAGTAGGTGTACTTCAGCTTTATTCTGGAGGTCACTCTACACCTTTATATAACATTCATGTCTGCAGAATAGATTCTTTTTTCCCTGCTACAGGATATTCTGTTGAATGATGCTCTGTAGTTATTCGGCCAGTTCCCTATGGAAAGGTATTTAGGTTATTTCCAGACTTTTTGCTACTATATTAGCTGTCTGCAAACTGGTATCTTTGCTCCCTCTACAAATCTATCCATAGAAGAAATTCCTACTGGGCCATCAGACAAAAGTGTGCTATAAATTCTCAACGTTTTCAAGTTCCCCTGGAAGCAGGCTGCTCTCCCACTCAAGAAGCAGAAGCTGTTTTGGATTCGGAGCAGGCAGGCTCTGATGGCTAGAGGGAGACCTCGCCCCACCCCCTGCCTCTCCGGGCCTGGAGCCAGCTCTCCCAGATCGGCCCGGGCTCAGCCGTCCTGGATCCCTTCTGCTCTTCAGATGGCCACGAGCCAGCCCGCCCCGGGCCTTTCCTCTTGTGCTTCCCATTGCCCGGGTGGGGTGCGAGGCCCGAGACATCACCAGGGCTTCCTCCTCGGCTCTCCCCGCAGAGCAGCCCCCGGCACCCTCTGATTTCACGCGGCATTAGTTCCTTCTCAGCCATTAACACTCCCAGAAACTCTCTTTTCTTGTCCTTACTCCTTGATCGCTGGTCTCCCCCGCTGCACAAAAGCCAGTTTTGGGTCTTCTCCCGCACACAGCAGGCAGCGCCCCCACTCACCCCTCGGTCCGCCCGGCGGCTGCCCGCCCCCGCCCCTGCTCCGTTTACCTCCATGCGGTGCCGTCCCCCCCAGCAGCCCCCTGGATTGTGGATTTACTTGTTGGGTGTCTGGCCGCCTCCTCACTAGCAGGCGGCTCCTGCGGGCACGTGCAGCTCCCCGCGGCCGCCCCCGCGAGGCCGCCCCGGGGCCGGCAGCCCGGGAGGAGGGGGGGGAGCGCGCCCCGGGGCCGGCAGGTGGCCCTGCCGGGGAGAGAGGGGCGCTCGGGGAAGGTGAGGTCGTTTCCCTGCCCTCGGGAGGGAGCTGGGGTACGCAGGCCCCGGGGGCGCACGGGGGGGCGGGGCTCGCGGGTGGGCGGGGCTGCGGCGCGGGCCCCTCCCCGGCCCCGCCCCGGCCCGGCCCCGCCCCGCCCCCGTCAGCTGGCCCCGGAGCCCGCCGCGCCGGCTCCGACCTTGCAGCGGCGCAGCCGGGGCGGGAGGCGGGAGGGGCGGCGGGAGGGCTGGAGCGAGCGCGGCGCCGGGCGCGGTCTCCAATGAGCAGCGCGGAACCTGCGCCCCAGACGACCCGAGCCCGCTGCGCCCCCTCCCCGCGGCTCACCTGGTGCCAGGTAAGGTAACAGGTAAAAACGCGGCGCTCGGAACCTTCCACCCGGCTTCTTCCCAGGCCGGGTGCCAAGCTGGGCACAGGCTGGGGCCGCCAGGGGATGAGTAGGCATCTCAGTGGAGGGTGGGAGCCTTCCCGTCTCCGCCCCTGCACCCCAGCGCCCCCAGACGCAGGTCCCAGCCCCCCTTCTCTGCCGCATCCTCTCCACACCAACTGAGCCAGTGTTGCATTTTTTTTTAACACCTCAGGTGCCGCCACCTCCTGGGAAATGGTGGGGGTGCCTTTGGGGGGATCCTGGGAAGGCTGTCTCCCCCGCAGTATCATAGAGGCGCGTCTTCTGAGAGCGCCCCACCCCCATAGCGGGCCTTCCCACGGGTCTGGAGCGCCCTGGCTGTGGCAGAAGCCTGGGAGCCGGGCTGGGCCTGCCGACCTTGGCAGAGCAGTCCCCTCTGTCTCCCTGGCTGGCCAGTGGGCAGTTCCGACCCAAACATCCACCCTGGCGGCTAGGCCTGTGGGCTCCCACTGGCCCCTCCTTATTCCTGGGCCTCTGATAAAATAGGGTGCTCCCACCCCAGACCTGATGTAAAGAGTGCTGTAGCTGGTCTGACAGGATTTCTTGCCCCCTGGAGACACTCTGGCCTCTGTTCAGGTACCAGGTGACAAGACCTGACCTGTCCGGAGCCGGGGCAGCTCCCCAGTTTGCCTTGCCTAGAGCCACGAGTTACCTGAAACAACTTTCACAAGTTCCGGAGAGATGGCCGGTCCCAGCGTGGGACATGGTGGGTTCAGCCAGGGGGAAGACAGGGCGGACCCATGTGGACCTGGCCTGGTCTGGCCCTTCACCCGGGGACACCCCCACAGAACTGGCCGGGGTCAACCGTGTTTGCTAAGCAGTGAGCGAGCCTTCCCACTACGCGGCCGGGACTGCTCTGGTGCGAGTTCCCCAAGTTAGGGGTGATCTGAGCTGCCACCTGTGCTTCAGGACCTTTGTCTTGCGTTCCCTAAGCCGCCCCAGAGCAAAGTGTCGAGTTTGGGTTTCAGTCCTGCCTTGTGTCCTCTGTGTTGTCACTCCCCAGCCTGTTTCCCACCTGTCACAGGGGCATGGTCACCGCCTGGCGCTCCCACCCCCGTGGGAGGGGCCACTCAGCACCTTGTTAGCACTCAGTGCCGCCCTGTCAGCGTGGCTGCGGTGACCGTAGTAACCGTGATGGATTCTGTCCTGGCTGTTCCAGACCCCCCTTTCGTGCAGCAACGGCTGCCTCTACCTCTGCTTCTAGGAAGGAAAGCCTTTCACAGCCCCCCTGAGCCCCAGGGACGAGGTCACTTGCTAATCCTGGGCTTATCCTTAGCCTTTGGGGTCAAGGCCAGTGCCCCTGTCTTCCTGGGCTATGTCAGGCCCTGGGCAGTGCCTGCTCTGGCCTCTGGCCACCACCTTGTCCTTGTCCCTTGGGCCACACGCGTCACCCACGTGCCCACGATTTGCCCTCCAGCTCCACCTGGCTGAGCCTGGCCGCATCCTCTAGATCTGGCTTGTGGAGACCGAGACGAGCTCTCTGGTCCCCATCCTCCCCTGCTCGCTGTCTTGGCTGGTGGTCTTGTTCCCTCTCCACCCTGCTGCTCAGTCACTTGAAATAAAACAGAGTAGCCTGTCCCCAGCGAGGACTGTAACCCGACCCGAGTTGGACTCTGCTCCATCAGAGCCTCAAGTAAAAGGACTCAGCGCTTGGGAGCTGGGACTTCTTCACTGCCCCAGCTTACTGGGCGACCCTAGGCGGGGCACTCTCCCATCTATAAAATGTGGTTCAGATGGTTTGCATGGCTGGGGTGCGAGACTGTTTACTCCGGTGAAGACAGACAGCTGGGGATCCCAGGTGGGTAGCTGGCAAATGAGGTTGACGTTACCCGAAGCAAAGCAGAGGGGTGTCAGGAAGGAACTCCACCAGTGAATGGGAGTGGGGGCAGGGAGAACCAGCCAAGCCCCTAGCTGTAGTCCAGTCTCCTGTCCCATTCTGAACCCCAGTTCCTTTCTGGAGGCCAAGGGAGCCGTGTGCCGCCCCACAGAGGTGAGAAAAGCCAAGGAGGCTGGCAGGGCCTGGGTAGCAGAAAGTGGCTTGGCCAGGAGGCCAGCGTGGGTCAGGCCAAGAGCATCCCTCCCTGGGCTGCTCTGCCTCTGGCTCACCCACTTGCTGGCTCCCTGAAGCCTCTGCATTGCAGCAGCAGGAGGCTGCATGGCAGCCCTGCCTGCTGGGCCAGAGCAAGGGCCTGGGCAGGGGGTGTGTGACTGCCTGTGCCTACCCTCCCTCCTCTGCCCTTAAACCTATGAGCCCTGCTTCCCTTTAGGGGCCAGCTGTTATGGGGGTGACTGTCTCTCTGGGGCTGACTTGAGGCAGGGCTAGAGTGGAGGCGACCCCAGGCTTGGGGATCATGGAGTCCCTGGGTCCTCTCTGCATCTCAGCTCCCTCCCTCCCTCCCTCCCTCTTCAGCCCCATTCAGCGTCTTGCCTGCCCCTGGAGAAGCTGTTTTAAAGGCTTAGGGCTTTGCAGCCAAGAGAACAGACTTTGGATCTCAGTGGCCTGGATTCACATCCCAGCTCTGTGACTGCCTGTGTGACCTGGGGCAGGTCACTTAACCTTTTTGTGCTTCAGTTTCTCAACTGTAAAATGGGGACAATGATAGACCGACCTCGCGGGAGTCTTGTGAGGATGGACTCGTGTTGCCACCTGGAGCGGCACCCGCAGCTTCTTCTGCCAGCTGCTGCTACTCCCCCCTCCCGGTTGGTGTGACAGTGTTGTCGTCATCTCTGCTGCTTGGCTGAGCCCTCTCTGACATAAACTTTGTTTTGCTTAAGCGAACCTTCCCGTGGGCACTGCCCAACTCCCTGTTGGCACTTGCTATACTGGCAAGGACTTTAGCTTAACAGTGTGGAGCCCAGATTCTGGAACCAGACCGTCCTGGATTCAGGTCCCAGCCCTGCTACTCAGCAGCTGTGTGATTTTGGGCAAGTTATTAGCTCCTCTGGGCCTCAGTTTTCCATCTGCTAAATGGGGGTGACACTAAGCCAGCATATGGTGTGTATAAAGGGCAGGGCTTTTAGGAAGGACTGTGCTAAATAACTAATTATTGGGCGCTTGCTGTGTGCCAGGTATGAAGTGAAGAGGTTGGAAGTCAGGTGCTAGGATCCAAGTCCGGCTTGGGCCTTTGTGAATGGAGTGATACGGCCGTGCTTTTTGCCTCTCTGTGCCTCATTTTCCTGAACTGTAAGTGGGACTGGAAACATCAGCCTCATGGGGTCCTGGGGGGCTCCTATCACTTCAGAACGTAGGTCATTTACCCAGAATTATGGGGGAGAATTATGGGTCGCTTAGGTTGGCTCCCCCTTGCCAGCCCTGACTGTGTCAAGCCTCCTGGTGCCGCACACATCTTCCCTCCACTAGGGGGCGCCAGAGGTTTGCCCGTTTTGTAGTCAGGACGGTGAAGCCACCAGAGGCTGCCGCACCTGATGTGGGTCTAGGGGTCAGGCTGCCAGGCACACCCCAGCCCGGACCCAGCTGCTCCCTGCTCCCAGCCTCAGCCACCTTCTCCACTGGCCCACGGAGAGAAGAACCCAGCTCTCCCTCACTGTGTGTTTCTGCTTCTGCCCACATAGGTGCTTTGCCCTGTCACCGCAGCGCTTTCTCCCAGAGGGGTGGCAGGTTTGCCCCAGCCCAGCAGTTCCCCCCTATCAGCAGGGTACCCGGAGTTAGACTCAGTTCTTACACTGCTTACCTGAGATAGCATCGACCCCACAGATGAGGGCTTAGGCCAGGAGACGGCCCCCCATTTCAGACTCTAGCTGCAAGTTGTGGGTCTTCAGGTTACCCACAACTTCTGTCCAACTTGGCAGCTTCCCACCACACCCTGCTCACATTCCGGTAATTTGCTAGCAGGACTCACAGAACTCCCGGCCACACATACGGACATGACAGTTTATTTCAGGATGTGTGTGGCAAAGGATCCAGGTGAAGAGACACACAGGTATGGTCTGGGAGGGGGAGCGGCACCCTCATGGTGTGGGTGTGCTCCCCAGCCCAGACAATCTCCAAACCCTGTACTATCGGGATTTTCTGGAGGCTTCTTCGTGTGGGTGTGATTGATCATTAACTCCATCTCTACCAGAGTCACCTCATTAGAACAAAGACACTCCTGTTACCCAGAAACTGCATGGGTACTACGAGCCCTGTGTTGGAACCAGAGTCAGAGACCAAGTATTAGAAAATAAAAGACACACCAGTGCTCTCATCACGTAGGAAAGTGAAAGGTTCTAGGCGTTCTGTCAGGACAGGGCGCAGAGGCCTATGTGTATGTAATTTATTGTAAATCTCCATATCACAGTGCTTTGCACAGAATAGACATCAAGCTCCAGAAGGGTCTTGGGCTGGGGGTGAGCGCCAACCTGGACTGGAGGAGGAGATTCTGAAGAGTTCTAAGAAGATGTGAAAGTCCTTGAGTTGCTGTAGGGCCTGCAGCCACCCCCACACCCTTCAAATCCTCTCTTGGTCTGAGAGGGTAAAGGTTTATTTGGGAAGACCGAAAGCCTGATTTGAGGTGGGAGGTGACTAAATATTTATTAATCACTCGCTGTTTTTAGTGATAACGATTAGCAGCAATAATTACATGCCCAGAACTGACGTGCGGGCGTGGAGCCTCACGCTAACACTTTCCAAAGGAGGAGGCTGGTCCAGAGGAATTAGTAGTGGCCATGGGGTGGTAAAGACAGAGACCCCGATGGCCCTCTCCACTCACCTCAGCTTCTTCTGCAGCATCCTCCAGACCCCCACTCCCTCACCTCTGGCCTGGTAGGGCCTCCTGGCCTCCCTCCTGCCTCAGGGTTCTGGCATTTCCCCAGAGAGCCACATGGAGGAGTCTTCCACCCCTTTCAAGTCTTGCTCAAGTATTAACCTTCCCAGTGAGGTGTTTCCTGGTACCCCTGTTTGAAATCGCCTTCCCTCCCACATCTCTCCCCCATCCATGTTACACCGTTTACTGACTAGGAGGCTCTCCATAGTCTTTAATCAGTGGAAGCCTCACAACACCCCGTGCAATCTGCGCTCTCGTTACTGCCATTTTACAGATGAGGAAACAGGTCTGGAGAGGGCAAGTGACTCACTCAGGGTCACACAGCCGGCAAGGAGCAAACCTGAACCCCTCACCCTGATGCTTACTGTTGCCCCTGCAGGTCTGGCCTCGCCCGGCAGACAATGGCCTTGCCCCCGTGAGCTAGAGCCTGCCCCTCGGCACCTGCCCACCTCCAGCCTGCAGGATGCGGCTGTGGAAGGCCGTGGTGGTGACGCTGGCCTTCATGAGTGTGGACATCGGTGTGACCACAGCCATCTACGTCCTTAGCCACCGGGACCGCAGCCTGCTGGAGGACATCCGCCACTTCAACGTCTTTGACTCGGTGCTGGACCTCTGGGCCGCCTGCCTGTACCGCAGCTGCCTGCTGCTGGGCGCCACCATCGGCGTGGCCAAGAACAGTGCCCTGGGGCCCCGGCGGCTGCGGGCCTCGTGGACAGTCATTGCCCTCGTGTGCCTCTTCGTGGGCATCTACGCCATGGTCAAGCTGCTGCTCTTCTCCGAGGTGCGCAAGCCAGTCCGGGACCCGTGGTTCTGGGCCCTCTTCGTGTGGACCTACATCTCGCTCACCGCCTCCTTCCTGCTCTGGTGGCTGCTGTCCACCGTGCGGCCGGGCGCCAAGGCCCTTGAGCGGGGCACAGGTGCCGAGGCTGAGGCTTTCCCTGCCGAGGGCCAGCACCCACCCGAGCAGGCCTCGGGGGCCACACTGCAGAAGCTGCTGTCCTACACCAAGCCCGACGGGGCCTTCCTCGTGGCTGCCTCCTTCTTCCTCATCGTGGCGGCTCTGGGTGAGTGAGGCCCTCGGGGTCCAGCGGGACCCAGGAAGGGGTATATCCACCTCTTACCTCCTGTGTTTTTAACATTTTACTTACATGGCCCAAACCTCAAGTGACTACAAATGCATAAATATTGAGAGTTACACTCCTAATTCTGCCCCTGACTTTCCTCATCCCTCAGGGTTAACTTCAGGAAAGTGTTCTAGAAACTTCCAAGTGGGCCCAGAATCACCTTTACTGACTTTTTTGTGTATTCTTCCAGTGTTTCCTTACCCAGCTAGAGCAGATAAGAACACATTGCTCCCCTTATCTCTAATGTTCTATCTTGTGCCTCACTTTTTTCACTTAACAATTAATCTGCAGTTTTCCTAACCAACACATCGTTTTATTTGGCTGCATAGTATTCCACCACAGACTGTCTAGTCTGTGTCCTGCTGGACTCATGGGCCCTTCTGATTCTTTTTCTTTTACAACAAGTAACCTCAGTCACATACAATTCCTGCAAATGTGGGTCAATTCCTGGGGGTGGGATCGCTAGGTCAAAGCATTCTTTATCATGAAACAGAATAGACTACACACCCCCAGTGTATGTGGTCTGGTTAGGTCACGTATCGTTCATGGAGTTTTTACATTTGCTATGTGTGCCTGTGCACGCTTGTCCTGGTTTATGATACAGAATGTACGTGTGGCTGATCCCAGCAGTGCGAAAGCACCAATCCACAAGTCAGCAGCTTGAAAGCATAAATCCCAGCCTGGGCGCCTCAGCTGACTGTGTGACTGTGAGCTGGTTCCTGAACCTTTCTGAGTCTCCCTTCCCTCCTCTGTGAAAGGGAAGCATTAGTGTTGTGATTTCGTGGTGCTGAATAGAAGCAGAAGCACAGGCACAGAACTTGATTCATCACGTAAGGCTGCAGGAATATTGGCTAGTGTGAGATGTTACATCTTGAAGTCATGGGGACAGAGTCCGGGAGTGGCCACCAAGCCAGAGAATTCTCCACGAGGACAGGCAGACCCCGAGCCGCCCTGATTTTGGGGGCCCTTTCCTCCTGCCCACCCTCCGCCCCCTCGGTCCAGCCCCTCTCTGAGTCTCAGTCTCCTCAGCTGTACATGGGCATAATGACCTTTCCCTTCACACTGGGCTCCGGAGGGTCAGTGGGTTCATCTGAGGAAGACGCCTCAGGCAGCTCCTGGTGCTCAGAAAGGAGCTCCTGGTAAATATTGGTGGCTGTGTGGATTGCTGTTTCTCCTACTTCTGCGTAAGTCCCAGATGTCCCCTCCTTAGAGAAGCCATCTCAGGTTCTACTGATCTGACCCTCAACTTGTGCCCTCAATGCTAGCCTTGATGACATTAAATCTTTAGGTCAACTCTCCTGCCTCCCCTGCCAGACTGAGCCTTTTGGAGACAGGAGCTGGGTCAGACTCACCTTGATACAGAGGTGGGCTGGCTGGCTGGCTGGCTGGGCGGGTAGGTGGATGGGTGGGTGGGTAAATGAATGAATGGATGGATGGATGGGTTCATGAACGAATGGATGAATGGATGAATGGAGAGATGGATGAATGAACAAGCAATCTTATTGCCTGTGTGAGCAGATATCACCCCACCACCCTGTGTCCCCCTCTTGCTTGTCCTGCTGTCGCTGGCATGTGCACAGGAAATGTGGCTGCCTATAATCCAGCTGAGCAGCTTGTTCCAGCCTGCAGGATTGTGTCAGGTTCAAGCTTCAGACCCCCGACTTCACTGAGAATTCAGTGACTTTACTGAACCTGAGCCGGCTCTCCATCTTGAAATGGGGACTCCATTGGGCCACCAAGAAAATTAAATGAGGTAAAGCAGTGTCTGGCACCAGTAAACACCATAAAAATTAGGTTCTGTGATTATTGATAATAGTTTTCCATCAATAAGCATTCAGTAAGACTCAGCTTTTTCTGAATCCTCATAGTCTGAAAGAAAATGGCCATTGGGGAGAAAGATTAGTTTCAGTGTTCAATATCTTCTATTAAATGGGATTTTTATTTTTATTTTTATTTAAACATTTTTTTTATTTTTTATTTTTTTAAGAGGCATGTATTTTTATTTATTTATGATTTTTATTTACTTGTTTGTTTTGTTTATACATGCACTGGGTACAGTCAGAAGCGCGGGAGGGTGAGAGAATTCACCAGAGCCAGAGCGGGGAGCAGAGCAGGCAGAAGGACTGAAGGATACTGCTGAGGGGAGCAGCGGGCGGCAGGAGAGGTCTGCGCGCCGTGTGGGACCCTCCTCTGGTGGCCTGGGAGCAACCGGGGATCGAACCGGCGCCACAGAGGCCGCGGGCAGCTTCGCAACCCAGTGCTCAACCGCTGCGCCACCGGGGAGGCCCTTAAATGGGATTTTTAAACCTGGATTTCATAGCAGCCCAACTATATGAATTTGGGAAAGTGCTTAATGTCTCTGAACCTCAAGTTTCCTCATCTGTAAAATGTGAACAATAGTAATGCCACACTTAGAGAATTGTTGGGGGGCATTCGAGACCCAAAAGAGATGAGGGAACAGATATCCAGGATAATAGCACTCTAGGTAGAAGAAACAGCCTGTGCAAAGGCCCTGAGGCAGGAAGATGCCGGGTTGGTAAAGAAATTGCCAAGAGGCCAGTGAGACTGGAGTGGGTGAGTGGGGGGTGGGGGAAGTAGAAAAGCAGGCAGGTCAGATGAGGCCACGCAGGCTGCCATCAGCTACTGTACAGACTTTAACTCTGGGTGGGACGGGAGCCAGGGACTGTTCCGAGCTGGAGGTTGCCCAGGTCTGACTTCAGCTTCCTGGGCCCTGCAGTCTGCCACTGGGAGAAGGGGGCCAGCGAGGAGGGCCAGGAGTTGACTGCTCAGATCATCCAGGCAAGATTGGCGACCTGGACCTGGGTGGGGGCAGAAGCAAAAGTGGTCAGATTCTGGAAATGCTGGCGTCTCAGGACTGGCTGGCTGTTGGTGTCCCACGTGGTTCTTGTGCAGCTTCAATGGGGTTTGCAAATGTGGAGACGGCGCTGGCACGCCAGGCTCGGCACACCTCTGCTACTGTGTGCTGCCATCAAATGCTGGTGTTGCTCACCAAGGCCCTTATCATCCTTGTGGGTAAACTGAGGTACAACTTCAGCTAGGGTGGGGGTCCTAAGCCTTAGCTGCAGATCCAAGGTAGTGGAAGCTGGGGACCAAGTCCCCTGCACTGACCCCCGGTGCTCCTGGTGCCTAGGCCAGCAGAGGGCGCCAGAACCCTACCCGGCTGAACCACCCGTGAAGGGCTGACCTGGCTGGTTTCAGTTACTGACTTATTGAGCGCCTACTGTATGCTGAACACTGAGCCAGGTGGTGGAAAGAGCTACAGTGAAAACCAGGGGCATGGCCTGGTCTGCCAAATTCCATTTCATGTTCATTTCCATAAAATGAGAGTCGGCATCCCAGATTATTGGACAAGACGGGGCAGGGTTTGAGTCCTGGCCCTCCCTCTCACCTGCTGTGTCACCTCAGACAAATTACGCAGCCTCTCTGAGTCTCCCCTACCATCTCTGTGAAATGGGGGTGACATCCCCTCTCCCCGCCCCTACCTGGGATTGTAGTAAAGAGACTGTAGTGAAGAGAGGAGAAATCATCTGGCAAACTGTAAAGTGCCCCACCAAGAGGGGCGGGGCAACTCCCAGCACTGTTTGGAAACAGAATATCAGTATCTTCTAAGGTTCAAGAATTTGGACTCTGAACCTTCCATCAAGGAGAACTACATGAACTTTGGAGTTTGTCTGTCAGCCACTGGTTGGCTGTGTGTCCTGGGCAAATGTCACCTTGTTACGGTGCAGGGAGAGGAGCACCCCAGAGCCCCCAAACCTGCCTGCTCTAAATAGGTTCTGCCAGCTACCACGTCAACACAAAACACATGAGACTTTAATGCAAAGGAACTTTAATACAATTAGTAAACAAAACAGGAAAGATAAAGAATATAGTTTCTAAATCAAGCACCCAAAGTTACCTATCCCCTTGTGGGTGAAAGTCCACCCAAGCAGGATTGGCCCAGAACAAGGCCCAAAAGCTGCCATAAGTCTAAATCACCCTCCAGTGGGGACCCACTGAAAAGGATCAGAAACAACCAGACAAGTCTGGGAGGGAAAGAGCAAAATCAAAATGAAGGTAAAAGCTGCACGGTAAAGCTAACTTCTCCACGGTGTCTCACCCATGTCGGTGTCACCCAGCCAGGACCAAAAGCAGTTTCTTCACGTGTCTCTCTGCTCCGCGCATCTCCTCCAGGTCTTCTGGCTCCATCTTGCTTCCTCCCTTCCTCAGTCTCCTCTCCAGCTTCTTCTCCCCCAGCTCAGCTCCACCCTTCCTTGGGTGGGACAGGGAACCTGGAACTTCCCCTTTTTCTGGGGGCCACCTGTTATAATCTGTCTTCTCAGTCTCATGTCCCTCATCTGTAAGATGGGGTAATAGCAGGGCCACCCCAGGAGTCTGCAGGGAAAGGGCCGTGTCCTCGGCTCTGTGCCCCGTGTCAGCAGCCATTATCAACAGGAATGAAGGTTGTACAGGAAGGCCCAAGGCTTCCTGTGCCCTGACCTCTGGGAAGAGGAGGGCATTGAGCATTACAGGCACCCCCACACTGCCTCCTGCCTCAGGAGAAGCTGGAGTTTGACAAGTGAGAGAACCCTGTCAGTGGGGGAGCAAAGTGGGTACAGTGTGGGCTTCCGGAGGCTGGGGAGGAAGGGAACACGCCCCTCAGCTGCAGACCCTGACCCAGCCGTCTCCTGGCAGGGGAGACCTTCCTGCCCTACTACACCGGCCGGGCCATCGACGGCATCGTCATCCAGAAGAGCATGGAGCAGTTCAGCACGGCCGTCATCGTCATGTGTCTGCTGGCCATCGGCAGGTAGCCAGCCCTGCCCCCTGCCCCGCCCCAGCCCCGCCCAGGCCTGCAGCTGGGAGGTCGGAGGTCAGGGGCCCGCTCCCAAGAGGAAAATTCTAAGAAAGGCCCCTGGTGGACCTGTCCTTGCTGCCACGGCGAATGGCGCGCAGACAGGCTTAGAACCCGTGTCCGCCTGGTGGGGCCTGTCCTGAAGCCACGCCCTCGAGTCCCTGAAAGTGGCCCAGTCCTCCTGGTTCCCCTTTCTCCCTCCCTGGCTGTTTGCCAAGTGGGAGACAAGAACCAGGCTTGTCTGCTTTTCTACACGGGATAAAGTACAGCAAGTGGGGTCCCTCACCCCCACTAACACAGCCCCTCTTTGCCCTCACCCCGGGGTCTCCAGCTAGGGAACGAGGGAGACCTTACAGCTCCCCAGGGGGCTGCAGGCCAGGGGCGTGGCGGGCTAAGGTGCTGGCTGTGGAAGGACGTCGTGCCACGTATAACATCTCTTATCTGCAATCAGCTCGTTTGCCGCAGGTATTCGGGGCGGCATTTTTACCCTCATATTTGCCAGACTGAACATTCGCCTTCGAAACCGCCTCTTCCGCTCACTGGTGTCTCAGGAGACGAGCTTCTTCGACGAGAATCGCACAGGTTGGTCCCCCTGGGCCGGGGTGTCTGGGGCCGGGCCAGCGGGCGGGCCGCCTGCGGAGAGGATCAGCATGGGCTGCTTTTGTCATCTCAGCCCGCTGCTTTTCCAGTGTCCAGCTCAGGGTGGAAACGCCCCTGAAGCTTGCTTGGGCTTTGGGCTCTGCCCAAGCCTGGGGAGCTGGCCTGCTCACTGAGGTTTCGGTGGGAGCTGTGGCCACGATCGGAGCCTGGCCAGGCCACCCGAGGTCCCGAGGCAGCCGAGGCCTGGCCTCCCACTGCTCTCTGGGCACCGCAAGGATCAGGATGGCCCAAGACTGTGGCCTGGGACCCGAGCCTCTGAGGGCGTGAACGGGGTGGGGTGCAGGGCAGAGCAGAGAAGGCAGCCACATGGGGCCAAGGTCCCAGGCTCCAGGCAGATCGGCCTGGCTCCAGCCCTGGGGTGGCTCACTTGATCCCCCTGAGCCTCAGTTTTCCCCTCTGCAGTTGGTAAGAGGGCGATGCCCTTTTCTTTACCACCCCCACTCCCCAGCCCAGACCTTTCTCTGTGAGGGAAGGGACTTAGTCGCCGTGTCCGTGACGGGGCGTAAATGTGGCTTTGGTGCTGGCTCTGTCATGGACAAGCCATGTGGTGCTGAGCTGGGGTGCGTGAAGCTCGGCGAGGTGCGGGTGATCCGGGGGTGGGAGTCGGGGGCTCAGAGCAGGCCTCTTCTTCCTGCCCAGAAGGTGGGGTCGGAAGCCCCACAATGTCCCCCATGCCCCACCCCCCGCAGCACCCCGTTGCCGCAGCGGGAGCTGAGCTGCCTATGTTCCAGGGGACCTCATCTCCCGCCTCACCTCGGACACCACCATGGTCAGCGACCTGGTGTCCCAGAACATCAACATCTTCCTGCGGAACACCGTCAAGGTCACAGGCGTGGTGGTCTTCATGTTCAGCCTCTCGTGGCAGCTCTCCCTGGTCACCTTCATGGGCTTCCCCATCATCATGATGGTGTCCGACATCTACGGCAAGTACTACAAGGTAGGCCCGGCCCTGCGGGGCTCTGGAGCGCTGGCCGCCCTGAGGGGCCCCTTCGAGGGGCGCAGGGTCACTGGGCGCTAGGATGGAGCGTCCTGAGGCTGGGTTTGCAGTCATTCACCGCTGTGGTGAGCATCTGCTGTGTGCCAGCCCCCGGACACGGTAAACCTGACAAGGCCTCTGCCTCAGGGGCTTACACTCTAGAGGGTGAGAAAGCAAGAGTAGCAAGAACACATCTCACAGTCCAAGACGGTGGGCGCCAGGGAGAAAGGGAAGTGAGGAGGGCAGATGGGGCGTGTCGGGGCTCATTGCAGCTTTAAATTGCAAAATTTTAAGGAAGTTTCTGAGGAGGCGGTGCTTGACTGGAGATCTGAAGGTGGACGTCTCAGAGAACCATGTTCCAAGTACAGGGCACCGTCAGTGCAAAGGCCCTGAGGCGGGAGCCCCACAGAGGCCAGGAGGCTGGAGTGAGGAGTGAGGGCGGGGGCAGGTCTGGTGTGCCAGGATGGGGCGGGCAGTGGGGGGCGGGGGCCTTGGCAAAGACTGTTTTCCATGTGCAGTTGCTTGCTCCCTGCAGTGTGCCCATGTACCGCTCAGGCTCTGTGAGTGAGGTGCTAGGCTGTGGCCACCCTTGGCCCTGCCTCTGTATGGGAGGCCAGCTGGTGGGCGAGGCCCTCGGCTCCCTTCCTGCTTTGCATGCTTTTGGGGACCCCAGCCCTAAGACACCAAGGTTGGCTCGAGCGATCCCCAGGGATCCCAGCCTAGGGGGGCCGGGGGTACTTGTGATGGCCTCAGGTGTCCCGGCCCCAAACCCGCCCCACATGAGCCCAGTGCCCACCACCCAGGGGGTCCCCTCCCAGGCAATTCTAGCCCTCAGACCTCCCTGTTTTCCTCACGGGTAGAAAAATAAACACGGAAGTTGCAGTCAAACTTTTCCCTTCAGCCGTGCCCTGCCCTGCTCTTCCTGCCTTCCTGCCAGCCCCTGGGCCAGGGCCAGGGAAGCCCCAGAGCTGCCTCCCACAGCGGCCCCACCTCTGGACACACCTTGGGGCCTGCCCGAGCTCAGGAAGAGGCACTGAAGGAGGCTCTGTGCAGGTTTTCTAACCGGTGCCCAAGTGTGTTGACTAGAGCCTCTGGTTCACCCACAAGCTACACACCCTGCCCACAGCCAGACATGAGTCAGGCGCGGCAGGCCCTCCCCGGAGGCTGGGGCGCACCGCCTGCCTCCAGCGGCCTGGGCATGACTCGCAGGTCATGGGACATCCCGGGCTGGCCTCCGGGACAGCCTTCCTGGCTGGCTTGAGAATCTGAGTGTGGTGACTATTGCACAGCCTGGCCAGTGCTGCTGGAGACTGATTCCAGAACTCTGCCGGGCAGCAGCCTGTTGCTCATAGATTGGAGACCACTTCTCGCCACGTATCCAGTTATATGCATGATATGGGCAGATTTCTTAGCCTCTGCCACCATCCAAACTTGGCTGGGAGTTCTGGAACCTCTGTGCAGACCGTCATGCTCTCACATCGTTTCATGTGTGTTAACGATGAAGTGGGGCCCTCCAACAGCTGGTGGCTCGTACGGTGAACACCTGAACAATGGTCCGGACGTCCCTCCCCCGTGTCCATGGGGTCCTTTTCTGGGCGGACTGCCACAGGCCATGGGCGCGGATAACCCTCAGGTGCCAGAGCTCACTTAACGATCAGCCGAGGGAGCTGACCCCAGGCCCCTGCCAGCGCCTGTTCTCTGAGTGTCACATCAAGCTAGGATGGGCATGGAGAGCTCGGCTTTGTCCTAGTGTCCCCGGAACTCTCCAGATAGAGCCAGAGCCAACCAAAGGTAGAGGGACCCAAAGACCAGGGGACTCCGGTAGCTGGTGAGACTAGCTGTTCTGGGGTCTCCTCTCTGTCTCCCCTCCTGCCCATAGAGGCTCTCCAAAGAGGTGCAGAACGCCCTGGCCAGGGCCAGCAACACAGCCGAGGAGACCATCAGCGCCATGAAGACTGTCCGGAGCTTCGCCAACGAGGAGGAGGAGGCGGAGGTGTACTCGCGGAAGCTGCAGCAAGTGTACAAGCTGAACAGAAAGGAGGCGGCGGCCTACACCTACTACGTCTGGGGCAGTGGGGTACGCACCCCAGCCCGAGCGGGTCTCACGGGGGGTGGAGGGCCAGGCACTTGACCAGGACGTGAGCCCCTGTGTTGGTGTCAGGCTGACGTGCTTTCTGCTGTCCGCGGAGTCTTTCTGGGAGAGGGCAGTCTCCCCGGGGAGGCCTCCAGGACACTGTGCCTTCCCCGGGGTGGGCGGGGGTAGGAGAGGAGTCCCCCCAGGCCGGAGTGACCCAGCCCAGGCCGCTGTCTGCAGGTCCTGAGCCCCAGCCACACGCACCCCGCTAGAGTGTCTGCTCTCTTCCGGGGTGAGTCTCAGCCCTTCCCTGGAGAGCGGGGAGCCCTTGGGTCCCATCACCTCTGCACCGGGGATAGCTGGGGTCGGCATGAGGAGGACTTGGCAGTTAGGAGCAAGAGGGAGCTGATGTGGGGATGTGTTGTCTGGGTCTCCCAGGGCAGGCCACCCCTCAAAAGTACACAGCCAGGAAGGAGATGATCCGGAAATCGGGATAAGCTCGCTGAGCCTCTTGGCAGTCTGCCCCCAGCTCTCAGAGGCGCGGTGGTCTGCATTCCCTGTGCCTGACCCGGGTCCATCAGGAGGCTTGGTTGTCAGGACTGGCAAAGAGGGGCGCTGAATGGCTCGGCTTCCAGTCCGGTCCTGGGTGTTGCCCCAGGCCCCGGAGCGGGGAGGGAAGCAGGAGTGCCCTGGACACAGCCCTCCATCATGGGACCTGGTCCGGCTCGGGAACACAGACCTCATTGTCCTCGAGGCCCGGCTCGCTGTGTGACCTCAGCCAGGTCATGCAACCTCTCTGAGCCATGCTTGTCCCAGTGAGGAGGATAAGGAGCTCCCGTCGGCCTTGTCCCAGCTGAGGTGCTTGGGCCTCGCGTGTGCATGCCAGGGCCTTACAAAGAGAGCCTTGTTCTGGTGCCAGCCCCTGGCCCGCTGCAGCGGGGGCCTGGGTAGGGAAAGGCGCCAAGGCCGGGAGGGGTGTGTGAGCGACAACGGCCACCCACCAGGGGACGACATCCCCACACCAGCTGGAGTGCCCGTCGTGGCTGGACGTGCATAGCCCACAGCTCCCCCTCCCCCTGCAGCCTGGGGGGGTGGGAATGGTGCCCGGCGGCCCCAACCCTCCTTTCCTTCTGCCCCCAGCTCACACTGCTGGTGGTCCAGGTCAGCATCCTCTACTACGGGGGCCACCTCGTCATCTCAGGGCAGATGACCAGCGGCAACCTCATCTCCTTCATCATCTATGAGTTTGTCCTGGGAGACTGCATGGAGGTGAGGGGCTGGCTTGGGGGCGGGTGCTGGGGGAGGGGGGTGGAAGAAGCTGATGGGGGTGCAGCGGGCCTGGGGTGTGGTTTTGATGATTTCAGAAAACGCTCCCAAGAGTGTAGGGAGGCTCAGTGCTGTTCAGGGGAATCAACTGGGGCTCAGAGAGGTGAAGCCCCTCGCCCGCCCAGCTAGTGGGGCGCCAGAGCCTGACTAGACTCTCGCCTCTGTGGAGCACTCGGGTGAGAAAGCTCAGGTGGGGGGAGGGGTCACCCGTCCTGAGCTCAGCGCCCGCCCCTGGGACCCGGCCTCTGGGGACACCCTCACGCAGAGCCGAGCCGTGTGTCCCGGGATGCGTGAGGTCTGCCCGCGGCCCAGGGTCCTCTGGAGAAGGGGCGCCTGTAGCCCACAGTCGTCTGCACGCGAGCTGCCAGGGGGCCCCTCCAGACTGAGGCAGGTCTGTGCGCCAGGCCTCGGAGAGCCGTGACACCATGGCCCTGGGCAGCGGCGCTGCCGCGGCCCCTTCCTGCGCGCTCTCGCATCGAAATCATGTAATCACACGCGTGCACGGGTTTGTGACCGCACCGCGAAGGGGCTGGAAAGGTACAGCAGGTAACTGTGGCTCCCTCCGGGGAGGGGCAGGAAGGACAACTTCTCCCCGACCCTGGTGACCTGACGCTAGTCACGGTGTCTGGATGTGACCACACAGCACGGGCTGGCGTGGGCTTCCCGAGCGCCGGGCGCTCCTCACAAGCCACGGCCGAAGTGCTGCTCTTCCCCGGCTGACCACCCAGGACGGTCCCCTTTGCTTAAGTCCTGGCTCTGCCACTCCCCAGCAGTGTGACCCAGGGGACGCTAAACGCCCTGTGCCTCTGCTTCTTCCCCGCCGAGAGGAGCTCGCGAAGGAAGCGGCCGCGTGAGATGGGAGATGGGGGTCACCACTGCACTCAGGCTGCGTGTGCTTCGCCCGGGGGGATGTAGCCATGCGGGGCATGAGTTAAGGCCCATTTTTAAAGTTGAAGTTTTGAGTTCTGTGGCAGCTGAAAGAGGAAGGTTCCATTTTTATTCTGCCACGTTCTGGCTGGTTCTGTGAGAACCTCTGGAGGTGCTGACGGCGCTGGGATCAGCTGGGATGGCTGGAGGTCGTCTGAGAAACGGCGTGGGTGGTGGTTATTGCTCTCCTCATTTTTCATGATTGTCATTATCTGCTGAGCCAGCAGGTGGACCCACCCCCTAAACCCCCAGAAACCCCACTGTGTCCTTGCTCTCCGTATTCCCTCATCTCTCTAGCGACACAGGGGACCCCAGCAGTGAGATGCCTATAGGACAGGAGGCTGTCTCTCCCCCCTGCAGTCCGTGGGCTCTGTCTACAGCGGCCTGATGCAAGGAGTGGGGGCTGCCGAGAAGGTGTTCGAGTTCATTGACCGGCAGCCAACCATGGTGCATGATGGGAACTTGGCTCCCGACAACCTGGAGGGCCGGGTGGACTTTGAGAATGTGACCTTCACCTACCGCACTCGGCCCCACACCCAAGTCCTGCAGGTAAGAGGGGGCTGGACTCATCTTCTTCCTCGCCCCATCTTGTGCCTCTTCTACAGGCCAGCCCTGGGCAGTGCAGTCAGAAAATGTAAGGCAGAGTCCCTGCCCTGGTGGAGTTTGGGTTCTGGCGGGGAAAGCCACATCATTAACAGAAGGATTCCAGATAACAAGTAGAAGGTTGTCTGTAAATCAGGGTAGTCTATCAGGATGGTGTTAACAGTTAGGAGGGCTTCTTGGAGGAGGTGACATTTGAACAGAGACCTCAACAAGGAGCAGGAGCCAACCAGGTGTTTCTTGCAAAAAGGGCATTCCAGGCAGAGGAAGTGGATACAAAGATGTGCCAAATCCTGGAAAGGAGAGCATTCCAGGGACCCTGCAACACCCCACCATGGCAGAGGAGCAAGGCATAAGCTGGGGAAAGTGCCCACCTGTTCTGAGACCAGAGCAGCTGAGCCAGCGGCCCCACACATGTCTTCCTGTCCCTTGCAGAATGTCTCCTTCAGCCTGTCCCCAGGAAAGGTGACTGCACTCGTGGGGCCCTCAGGCAGTGGCAAGAGCTCTTGCGTCAACATCCTGGAGAACTTCTACCCCCTGGAGGGGGGCCGCGTGCTGCTGGACGGGAAGCCCATCAGCGCCTATGACCACAAGTACTTGCACCGCGTGGTATGTGAGCGGCCTTGCCCCTCCCCTTCTGGGTCTAACTTTCTCACAAGCTGTAACACAGATGCAGAGAAGAGGGCTAAAGGGAAATGTAGGGTTTAAAGATTCATGGCTGAAAAAAAAAAAAATTCATGGCTGGTGTAACACCGGCCAGGTTGGGAAATAGAACATTCCGGCCCTCCAGACGCTCCCCTGTCACATGTCCCCTCACCCCCACCCCAGATGCAGCATCTCACCTGGCTTTTATCCCTGTCGTCTCCTGGCTTCTCTCTAGTCTTACCATCTCTCTGTGCCTCCCTGGCCTGCACAGCTGCTCCCGGCTGGCTTTGAGCTTCCCCTGTGTGGACGCACACAGGGTGTACGCATGTGTGTCCTGCTCCTTCACTGAGCGTTACTTGTGAGTCAGCCAGGTGGGCGCTGTAGCTGCAGTTGGCTGGTTGTTGGGACCTTGTGCAAGCAGGTCAGCCTCGTTAGGCATCCCTGCCGTGTGGACGCTTGAGGGCTACTGACTATTGCCCATGCTGTGCTGGGCAGTTTTGTCTGCGGGTTGGTACAGAGACTCCTGAACTGCCTGCCAAGATCTAGATGGTGGTGGAGGCCACGGAGGGTGAAATCTTCCCCTGTGTGGGTATAACCAGGGGTAGAGGCTGAGAAGTGAGCCCAGGAATGGGAATACCAGGCTAAATATTCCGATAGTCAATATTGTCAGTCCTAAATTTTTTGCCAATGGGTGAGTATGCCGAGGGCGATCATCACGGGCTTCTGCAGTTCCCTGTTGACCAGGAGATCACATCCCTCCTCATGCACCTATGGGCCATATGGATTTCCTCTTATCAATACCCCCTTTTTATTTTTTTTTAAGATTTATTTATTTATGCATACAAGAACTGGGGTACAGGCCAGAGGTACGGGGCCAGGGGTGAGAGGATTCACCAGAGACAGAGTGGGGAGCAGAACAGGCAGATCCACTGAAATCCACTGCTGCGGGGAGCAGCGGGGAGACAGGAGAGGTCTGCTGCGCCCTGTGGGTCAGCTCCCTGGCCTGGGATTGAACTCGTGCTGCAGTGGCTGTGGATTGCTTCATAGTGCTGAGACTGAACCCCTTGCGCCACCAGGGAGGCCCAATGTACCCCCTTTTTAAATTTAAAATTTTAATTTCTATATGATGTTAACCAATGTCACCTCAAAGATGAATTTTCAAAACCATGGACAATAAAACACAGCCGTGAAACCCATTTCCCACAACTCAGAATACTGTGTGAGACACGGAGTTCCCCTGCACCTCTCCTTTTGAATTCCACCCCAGGGGGTGACCAGTGTTAGGGGTTTAGTAGATCCCTTTCCCCACTTCTCCCTCTGTTTGCATGTGTGTGCATGTTGCAATTTGATTTTTCTGGATGTAGCGTGATTCACCAACCCCCAGTTTATGGACTACGGAGCAGGTGTCTTTCTTCCTCCCGCCCTCTCTCATTCCTTTCTTTCCTTCTGTTTGCAGTTGCATTGATATCCTCCATGCTATGATTTTTCTAGACCAGATTTCTAAGCCTGGGCCATAAATGATAGTGATAAAGCGCGCTGTCCCAGAGGTCAGGGAAGTTAGCCCACACAATGAGGTTAGGGGCCCCCCTTTGCTGGTTTCGGGGAAGCTGAGGGCGTGTGGGGAAAGTAGACTCCACCTTCAGTAAAGAGGCCGCTGAATGCAGCAGCTGGGCGCAGGCCCAGGTCAGATTTCAGACCTGAGACCCCTGGCGTCAGCCAAACCTGGGGCTGGCAGGGCTGCTGGTGGCAGCTGGCTTCCCATGCCCCGCTCTCCCTCCTCTCAGATCTCCCTGGTGAGCCAGGAGCCGGTGCTGTTTGCCCGCTCCATTACAGACAACATTTCCTACGGCCTGCCTACTGTGCCCTTTGAGATGGTGGTGGAGGCTGCACAGAAGGCCAACGCCCATGGCTTCATCATGGAGCTCCAGGACGGCTACAATACAGGTACGCATTACTGGGAGCATCACCTCCACCAAGCCTGAATATACACCCTCAGGGATGTGACCCTCTGAGTGACACATTGCCTTCTGTTAGCCTTTTTTTATTATTTCAGGTGAAAATCTTGTAACATAAACATTATCAGTTCAGTAGCACTTAGTACCTGGCACAACCACCACCTCTGCTGAGTTCCAAAGCATTACTTTTTTTTTTTTATTTTTTAAGATTTATTTATGCATACAAGAACTGGGGTACAGGCCAGAGGTGTCCAACCTGTTTCCTCCTGCCCTCAACAAAGCTTCATTCTTTAGTTTCTCCCATGTCCTTTTGGAGTTTCCTTATGCAAATAGGAATGTATATTTTTATTCCCTCTGCCTTCTTACAAATGAGAAACAGCAACTTACAATCTGCACCCAACTTTTAAAAAAAATTAACACAGTATCTTAGTGACTCTGAAAGAACTTTTTTTTTTAAAGATTTATTTCTTTATGCATACAAGAGCTGGGGTACAGGCCAGAGCTGTGAGGGGGTGAGAGGATTCACTAGACAGAGTGGGGAACAGAACAGGCAGATTGACTGAAGTACACTGCTGAGGGGAGCAGTGGGGGAGACAGGAGAGGTCTGCTGCGCCACGTGGGTTGCTCCCTGGCTGGCCGGGGATTGAACTTGTGCTGCAGAGGCTGCGGATTGCTTCAGAGGTTGTGTCTTATCCCTTTGTGCCACCAGGGAGGCCCTGAAGGAACTTCTTTACTCAGTTTCTGATTGATGGACATTTCAGTTGGTCTTTGTTGTTTTTTTTTTTTTGCAATAGCGGCACTGAGAGTCACACAGCAAGTGCCGGTGTCACTGGGCTGAAGGGTGGATCTGTAGGAGATTCAGAACAGTGGGCTTGCCAGCACAGCGTGTGCACGTGCAAGTTGGGGGATTGCACCCCTGCACTGTCCCGGGGAGAGGGGAGAGGGCAACCCTCACCACGCCAGGCTGGATCTTTGCCAAACTAATGGGTGGAGATTGGCATCTTGGCACCAAGTACCTGTAGTTGTGATTTGCATGCCCCATGTGCACAGGGCGGGAGAACTTCCTTTCTGGAGTTTTCCACTCTTAGCCCCAGCCAGCCTGGGCCCTCTAACCACAGCTGTTCCTCTGGAGCACAGCTCTCAAACACTGGGGGGCAAGGCAGAAGAAGGGGGTGTCAGGCCCTTCTCTGGGATTGCCCCGGCCTCCCCTCCATCACGTCCCCTGCACATCCACCTTGCAGAGACGGGGGAGAAGGGCGCTCAGCTGTCGGGCGGCCAGAAGCAGCGGGTGGCCATGGCGCGGGCTCTGGTGCGGAACCCACCTGTCCTCATCCTGGATGAAGCCACCAGCGCGCTGGATGCAGAGAGCGAATACCTGGTGAGTGGCAGGGCCGGGGTGAAGCTGCAGGTGGCCAGCACCCCCCTCCACCCAGCAGGCTGGAGCTGGGGAGGGCTGGAGCCCAGGGGGTTTCCCGGGCAGCAGCCTCCTGGACACAGAGGTCCTGGCCTCTCGGCAGAGCTGGAATGCTGTGGGGTGGGAGGCCTGGGTCAGAAGCTCCGCTCCGCAGATCAAGGCTTGAGCAAATCTGTTCCCTTCTGAGTCTGCTTTTCACTGTGAAATGGGCCCTGCATGTGTGTGGCTGAGTGCGGCTCTGTCTCCCTGGATCCAGCCTTTTGTCACCCAGGAATGTACTGAGCTCTCCTGGGCTCCAGGCTGCTTCCCAGGCGAGGGGAGGGATGCAGTGAGGGCTGGCAGACAGCCAAGACCCCTCCTCCCAGCGGCTCCTTTCCAGAGGGGAAGACAGCTCCTCAACAAGGAGACCAGTGTGAGTTCTGCCTGTGGCCTGCTACAGACGCGGGTGCAGAGAGACCGAGACGGGGGCCACCATTGTCAGGGAAACACAGCTAGGCATTGGATAAAGCTGGGAAAACAGATTCTGCCCCATCACTACTTACGGGGAAGGCCGCCCTGTGTGCTGGTTTGGGGTTTGTGTAGAGGAACCCAGCATTTTCCAGGCAAACCAGGGGCCCAAGGAGGTGATCTTCTGCTGGGTTGGCAGATATGAGTGCAGCTAGTCCAGCTGTGTCTGCTGGCAAGAACTGAAGTGGGGTGTCTAGCCCCCCCAGAGAGACAGGGCAGAGGCCTTGTGCTTCCTGGCGGTCATGTTTCTAGGGAACGGCTTTCCAGTCCTTGAGAAAGACCCCCCTGAGCTGTGGGCAAGCCACGTGCAGGTCTCACAAGGCGAGGGCTGTGGAGGTCAGTCCTTCTCAGCGACAGCTCCGAGAGAGGGAGTCCGGGCCCCTGTCAGGTGTGGGGGCACGGCCCATTCTCCTGACAGTGCTATGCATGTTAGGGTGCCCGGTCATTCTCAGGACGAGGCCTGATGCTTCTGGAAGCCCCGAGTGCAGGGTTGGGACAGTCACAGCTGCCCGACTACTGCAGCGCTCGCCACTGAAACAGGGCCTTCAGCTGCTATGTGAGCTGAGGCCCACAAGGACGCGCCAGCTGCGGGGCGTTCTGGGGTGAGGGTGTCCGAGGAAGAGGGTGCAGTGGGTACAGAGGTTCTGAGCAAGTCTGCAGCCAAGTCCAAGGCCAGAGTGGCTGGCGGGTGGAAGTTGATGCAGTCGGAGGAAGACAGACTCCTCAGGCCCTAGGATTGTTTTTCTTCATAGGTTTTATTTTTTTTAGAGCAACTTTAGGTTTAAAGAAAACTGAGCAGCAAGCACAGCGTCCCCTCCACGCGCTTCCCCCAGCCCCCACCATCAGCACCTTGAGTAGCACGCGTCATAGCTGATGGACCAGCCGAAGCCCCTGTTTCACGAGAGGGGTCAGCGACTGTCCACTCTCCCTGTTGTATACTCTGTGGACTTTGGCAGAAGTTGAGCCTCCTGTGCCTGCAGCTGCAGATAGGATCACTCCTCAGCCCTAAAATGCCCCCGGGGTTTGCATTTGACCCCAGGTAGGATGAGGTGCCTGGAGGTACAGAGGGCTTAGCAAGGACTGATGCACCATTTTAAAAACAGATGGGGGGTCAGGGAAGCAGCAGGAGAGCTGCTGGCCATGGGGTGAGAAGTAATGGTGGTCGTCATCGAGGGGAAAGACAGGAACAGAGCGAGCAAAGTGGGGAGACAGGACCCACAGGAGTTGCTGATGGATTGGATTCGAATCAGAAGGGAAAGATGAGGACTTGAGAGCGACGCCTGGCTTTGCTGATGAGCCCCCTCCTCCAGGCGGGGGCCAGAGGGGCGAGCAGGAAGTCCAGAAGACCGCCAGGTCAGGGCCCACCTGCCCCCTTGAGCGCACTTCCCTAGTGCCCCAGCACAACCCGCGAGCAGGCCCTGTGCCTGCCAAGGTCTGGCCTTGCAAGCGCGGCTCTGAGTCTCGCCAGGTTAAGCATCGCCAGGTGGGCTGCCGGCGGCCCAGGCGTCGTGACCGGCCCCTCTCTCCCCAGATCCAGCAGGCCATCCACGGCAACCTGCAGCGGCACACGGTGCTCATCATCGCGCACCGCCTGAGCACGGTGGAGCGGGCGCACCTCATCGTGGTGCTGGACAAGGGCCGTGTGGTGCAGCAGGGCACCCACCAGCAACTGCTCGCCCAGGGCGGCCTCTACGCCAAGCTGGTGCAGCGGCAGATGCTGGGGCTCGAGCCCACCTCGGACTACACAGCCTGCCACAAGGAGCCCTCCAGCAACGACGGTCACAGGGCCTGACCCTGCCCCTGCTCCCCTGGGGCGGAGCCCCCACCGGACAGAGGTGTCCCTGGGGACCGCCCTCCCCACTCCCGCTGCCCTCCGGCCCAGGCCAAGGCGCTGGAGGGCGACCTGCCATGTCCCCCACGTCACTGCTTCCTGCATCTTGCCCTGGTTCCTGCCCTGCTCCCCGGTCCCCACCCTGGGCTACCCCCTCCAGTCAGGGCAGCCGGGGCACGGGGGTCCCTCCGGTCTCCGAGGCTTTTTAAGCAAAGGTACCTTTTTAAACCAAGACCTTACCGAGTTTTTAACTGCTTGGTTTGATGGGCCCCAGTGTGCTCCTAGATTTCAAAAACATTTTTCTAATTGGGAGTAATGGTGGGCAAGGTCAAGGAGACGTTCTAGACGCTTCCATACCAGGAATGAATGCCCCTTCCTAAAGGCCTGGGGGATGTTGGGGGAGAGATAACCGCCTCTGTGCTTTGCTCACCCCCAAAGAAGGGACTCTCTCTGACCCAGAGGAGGCACAGGCTGGGGGTTTCCTGTCTCCCTGGTCCCAGCAACGTGAGTCATCCCAGGGGCTGCGGGGACAGTGGAAGGCGTCTGTCTGCCCATCGTCTGCTGCCCTGCAAATCTAAGCTAGTCTCACTGTGAACCACTACGGACCTTAACTGGGAGTGTGGGGGACTGGCCAGGCCTGGCAAAGCCTCGGGGTGCCCCTCATCCAATGCCCAGCTCTAGGCCCCTGGTCCTGCCTCATCCCCGCTCCCCTCCCCTGGCTGGCACCCTGACCCTGTACCCACCCCTGCCGCTCTGCTGTCCCACATTTGGGAGACGCATTCTCTTCCCTGTCAGGTGGATGGGATGGAGGCAAATCCCCTGGTCTGACTTCGCGGGGAGTATGAGATGTTGGCAGAACCCCATCAATAAAGTGTACTACCTCTGACCCCTGACCTCTGACCTCTTCCTGGACTGGCCACCCCGTGGCCTGATTAGGTTTTTCTAGCAAGCTCCGCTCTCCCCTGGCCCTGTCTGGTGTCACTGTGCAGAGACTTTGGGTGGTCTAGGGCATCCCCCTGGTGTCTAGGAGCCCCCCAGTTGTGTTCTTCATGTCCCCAGGATCACCAGGCCTTCCTGTCTGTCTCCATGAGGCTTGAACAGGGAAATAGAGACCGGTCTCCTTGAAATCCCTGGGGCTTCTGCTCCTCCAGGAAAGCTGAGACCCAGCAAATGCCACCTGTTCTTGTCCATCAGGGGCCTGCCACCCCAGGCCCCCCAGCCTGCAGGGCTAGAAATAATACCCCGCGGAGCAGCTCGAGCAGAGGATAGGCGGAGCACTGGCCTTGGGAGGGCCTCAGGAGTGGTTTTTCTTACTTGCTGGACTGTGTGGAAGTCTAAAGTCCCCCTAGGGGGGCTGGGGCCCTGGCTACTTGCAGATGCAGGGAAGTATTTTCATATTCCACCTTCGGCACAGTCATGCTGCGTATTCTAGCTCAATGTCAGCCACAAGCCATTTTCCTTCTACCAAGACCCAAGACCCAGACTCTGGTCAGCTGCCTTCCCCGCTGGCCCTGCCGTGAGTGTCTTATGTCTCTAGGACCTCCTGTCCCGGATATGAGCCTTCGAGCAGGTTCCCATGGCAAGATTGTGCCCAGGCTGGGTGGGGTGGAAGCTCTGAGGCACCAACACTCTGTGCCTCTCCGCGGAATCCTCACGACGACCGCTTCTCCCAGACTGGAGCTGACGGAGCCAAATCTCTGAGAGGCGAATTGGCTGACCATGCGTCCCGCAGCCAAGACCCCACAAGCTGAACCCACAAAAGACAGGAACTAAAGATGGTGGGGCACATGTTACCTGAACTTTTGCGGTGCTTGCACCAGCCGTAGCATAAACTCAACAATTTTCAATGCTGCGAAACACGCCCAAAACACATAGGTGAGCTAAATCCAGCCAGGGGAGAGTTGGGGTGCTCTACGTGACCTGGCCCTTCATCTACCCCGCTCTGGGCCTGATGTTCTCACCGGTGAGGGGAGGTGCTGCAAGGACTTGGGGCGCTCTGGGATCTGCCTGCAGAGGTGGGCCTCGGCGGGAGGGAGGGTGAGTTTCCTGGGGCCGCCCTAACGAACGGCTGCAAACTAGGTCACTTAAAACAACAGAAACTTATTCTCTCCCAGCTCAGCAGGCCAGAAACCCGACTTCAGGAGACGGCAGGGCATTCTTCCGAAGGCGCCAGGGGAGGATCCTTCCCGCCTCTTCTAGCTGCTGGTGGCTGCAGGTGCTCCTTGGCCTACGGCCGCACCCCCCATTTCTGCCTGTGCTTCCTCTGCGAGTCTCCGTCTCCCTCTGTCTTCCGCTTTCAAGGACACTGTCGTTGGACGTAGAGCCTGTTGTCGAAAGCGCAGGGGCCACGTCCTGGGAGCCCGAGTCACACCTGCCAAGACCTTTCTCCCAGTGAAGGCACATCCCCGCTTCCGGAGGGCCGCTGGGGGCTGGGGTGGGGGAGAACCCACGGCCTTGGTCCACATGACACTGGCTGTCTTGCTCCCTCCTCCTTGTGGCCCACGGCCTTGGCTCAGAGCCACGTCAAGACTCCCCATTTGGTTTGGGGGTAGACTAAATACTCAGCGGGCCAGGAGGACCGGGCTTGGGTTGGGCCGGTGGTGAAGAGGATTGTGGAACTGAAAGCAAACTTGGGCCAGACTCTCTGGCTGCAGTTCATCTGTCCCTTTGTCAGTCAGGTTTTCTGTCCATTGGCTGCTGGAAACCCTCAGTCTCAATACATCAAATGCAGCACCCCATGGCTGCAGGGCCCCCGCCTACCCTTGGCCCTCAAGCCTGACCCTCAGTGCCTCTGCTCAGCCACGCTGGCCTCTCCTCCGGGCCCTTAAGCACACCAAGCTCATTCTTGCCTCTGAATTTTTATACCAGTTGTTCCTTCAGCCTGAATCACTGTTCCTTCCACTGAGTGCCCGGCGGGTTCCTTCTCATCCCACTCTCAGCTCACATGTCCCCTCCGCCTTCTGCAGGTCAGATCCCCCCACGGCCCCGATCTGTTGTCACAACACTTGTCACCCCCTGAAATTTTCTCTGCCTTGTTTATTCTCTGCCTCTTCCTGGAACTGTCGCCTAGGAGAGCAAGGAGCTTGTGGGACTGATTCACTGACTGAACAGCACGGCCCAGGGTGGGTGCTCGCTCTGTAAGCCCACGGGAGGCCGGGGCTCCTGGCCTGTGAGGTCCAACCAGCGTCATCAGCTCAGGCCCTTTCCATGTTCCCCAGGATTTCTGCAGGTGCTGGAGCTTGCCTGGAAGGCTTCCCACTTTTGCCCTGGAGCTTCTACTCTGTTGTGTCTGTTCCACATCACTCAGGACATGAGTCTCGGCCCCTCCTCAGCTCCCAGGAGGAAGCGCCCTCCTTCCATAGCAGCTGAGGCTTACCCAGCGCTTTCTATGGCCCCACCTCAGTGCTCTGCATGTGCAAATGCTGGGAACAACCCTCAAGGTAGGTACCTACCATATCCTCATTTACAGATGGGGAAACTGAGGCACAGAGAGGTTAAATGCTTTGCCCAAGACCACCCAGCTTATAAGTGTCCCATGCTTGGTTTTTGCTCTGTGGCTGCTGTTTTGCAACTCCCCAAGATTCTTGAACAAGAGGCTCCACATTTTCATTTTGCACCTGGCCTCGCGATGACCTCGCTGCCCTGGGGGCTGTGGCAACTGCAGCAGGAGACCTGAAAGGCCTCTTGCCAGAGGGGGGTGCTCAGAGAAGTCTCCAAGCAGCTCGGCACCCCCTCACCCCCAGCATTGTTGCAGGTAACCTCCCACCCCCTTCCAAGCTGGTCCCTGAAGCTTGATTTGTGCATCAGGCACAGATGGGTCTTCCCACGAGCTGGTCTTGGCAGGCTTGGGAGAGCGTGCGAGGGGGAGGCGGCTGCTGGTGTGACTGGGGGTCATGGTCAGAGGGGCCGCCCCAAAGATACCGCCAGGTGCTCGTCAGCGGCAGGACTGGAAAAGGCGCAAGGGTGTGTCCTTGCGTGGGTGGCAGGAACGGGCCCCAGGGCAGGATCCCCATCCATTGTGTGGGGGCGCCAGGGCTCTGTCCCCACATTCCTCCTCTCAAGCTCCCATCTGGCTAAGACCTCCCCCACCTTAGGCAGCACCTCAGCTAGTAGCTGGGAAACCATCTGTGCCTCCTCTTCAGCAGGGCCGCCCGGCACAGCTTTGCAGGTTTCGGCCTGCACGAGGGCGCTCAGCTGCAAGCTTGAGCCCCCATCTGTTCATCCCAGGGGTGGGTGCACCACGGGTGTAAGGAGGGGAAATGGCAGCAGGTAAATAGCAGCAGCTGTGAGACATCAGGGACTGGCGGGGCCTGCAGTGACTGCGGACCTCGCTGAAGGGGGCATGTAGTGCCAGCAAGGCACAGGGCAGGATCTCGATGCCCGGGCAGATGGGTAGAGAGTCCTGGGGTCCTCGGTGGCTTTTTCAGGCTCTTATTGAGTTTTTACCAGGTACACAGCAGACAGGGGTGCCGGGGGGCTGGGAGGCCGGCGAATCTTCACTCTTTCTGGGCTCTCTGGTGTTCTCTCCTGGTCTCTGTTCTCTACTGGTTCTTATTCTCTTGCTTGTTCTGCTGGCATCCCCGTGATGACGCCCTTATAAACCCAGGCTCAGCCCAGGTGCACCCACCTATGTGTGCCCACACCCCACTCCAGGTGCCCGCCATCAGGCGTGTGTGTAGGACCGCAGGGATCCGTCATTAATGCCAATGGCGGGAGGGCAGAAAAGCCTGATAATTTTTCACTTACCCTGCAGGGCCCCTGCTGTGCCAGTCGGTCAGATGTCACAGGACACGTGGGTAATGGCCCGGACCTTCCGGTTTCTCAAGGGAAGTGGCACGCTGTGTTTTATGAGCTCCCAGTTTTAACTTCTGATTCCAACTTTTAAAAATACAAACAAATCAAACAAAATTGGTCCTGGGGCCTCTCACCCAGAGGTTGTGACCCCTAGAGTTTCACTCTGAATTACCTACTTGATGATTTTGCACTGGGGGGCTGAGTGTTCGTGGGCGGTGGGGAAACGGGTGTTCTCATCCACACCCTGAGAGCACAGCCGGGGCAGCCTCTTTGGAGAGCAGTGTGCCACGTTTCATAAAAAGTTGAGATGAACAAAAAGCTGCAACCCCCAAATCTGCTCTTAGGCTTCTACCTAGCAGAGCAACTTAGGGTAATATGAATAAGACATAAAATTCACCATCTAAATAATTTTAAAGTATGGAATTTAGTGATATTTAGCATCTTCACAATGCCGTGAAGCTATCCTCACTGTCTAGTTCCAGAACATTCTCATCATCCCAAAAGGAAGTCTGTACCTGTAGGGTAAGGAAAGTATCAGGCTTTTCTGCCCTCCCGTCATTAGGATAGATGCGGGAACCCTGTGGTCCCGAATGCATGCCTGATGGCGGCACCTGGAGTGGGTCCACCTGGCGGCACCTGAAGTGGGTACACCTGGGCTGAGAGACTGAGTTTATTAGGGTGGCGTCACGGGGACGCCCGCAGAAGCCAAGAAGGAACGGAAGCCGAGAGAAGGCCGGAGAACCCAGATAGAGTGAAGACTTGCTGGGGCTGGGAGGCCTGCCAGCCTCCTGGCCCCCCGGCACCCCTGCCTGCCATATGCCTGGTAAATCTAAATAAAAGACCCGCTAAAGCCACTGAGGACCCTGACTCCCCGGCCGGCCTCCCCCAGCCCCTAGCAACCAGTAATCTGCAGTGTGGGCCTCTCGGGCTGCCTCTCCCACGTGGAGTCACGTCGTCAAGGCCCATTCACACTGGAGTGGTACTAGGACTTTGTTCTTTACTATGGTAGAATAGTTCTGCAGTGGATGGATGGGCCACAGTTGGTTTCCCCTCCATCTGTGGGGGTCATTACGGTGGTTTCCACGTAGTGTTTGTGTGGATGTGTTTTCAATTCTCTGGGGTAAAATTGCTGAAAGAGGAATATTTTTTAAACCTTGTTTTCACTGCAATCCTTAGTAAAAGAAATATTTTCACCTCCCTACCTCACACATACCCCGAAAGCTTTGCAAAAGAATATTAAAGTATTCCTGCAACTTACTCTGTCTTACGGCTTTCAAGAAAGAATGCTCTCAAGACCCATTAATCCTTAGGCAGTTTTAAAACACTTTTCCCAAGCAATTAGTGCTCTGGGGCTGTTTATAACAACCTGGTTTGCATTTACAAGCGCTAGAAACAACTTCTCTGTTTTTAATTTGGTTTTTTGAAAGTATGGTACAGGGTGTGTGGAATATTATGTGGGAGGGAAAAGCAGACATTGGATCAATACATGATAATTTGGGTAAAACTCAAAAACAAAAACAGGCAAAAGGCTGCAGCATATACATGCAAAACACTATCAGGTGGATTTCTTGGGGACACAAATATGTTGCAAAGGTTAAAAATAGGCTGGGAGGCTACGTGCCCAGTTCATGTTGGAGTTTGTCTCCAGTGACTGGAGCCAGAGCGGCAACACTCTTTGGTTAAGAATAAAAGCACATTCAAAGCAAATAGAAGGACAGGTTAAGGACGTCCAGTTCTGCTGTGGGGGTGTGTGTGGTGTGTGCGCGTGTGTGCGTGTGTGTGCATGCGTGCATGTGTGTGTGTGTGTTATTCCATGTACATTTCTGACCATTGAAATTTTCCCCAGAGGACTGGAGGAACTAAATTGAAACCCATCCTCCCAGAAGAAGTGCTGATAGTACCCCGAAAGATTTCCTGGAAGAAGATTGAAATCAGCTGCTCTGCCTTGTTTACCGAAAATAGAAGTTGTTGAAAACCCCAACAAGGAACCAGCACAGCCAGCAGAGAGCTCCCCTAAACCTGGGCACCACAGGACACCTCCATCTTCTTTCTTCCTAAGAACTTCCACCCTGGAATCTGCCCTTTTCTGAGGCCTGAACTTCTAGAAAATTCCACAGAGTTGTGACTCTGGAATCCAGCACCCAAACAGCCATTACTGCTGAGGTAACTTCTTTCTGGTCGCAGGTAGGAAAGTTATTAAAATTTCAAGTAGTAATACAGAAAAGTTCTTTTTTTTTGGGGGGGGTGCAGAGGCCTCAGAAAGAGGCTAATTGTTCAAAGGTTGCTTTCTTTTTATTGTAAAAACACACAACATGAAGTTGGCCATTTTAACCATTTTATGTTGTGCCACAGAGGCAGTAAGCGCGCTCATAATTTCTGTCACTTTTTTAAAAGCACATTTATTATCTCCTTTTATCTGAGTGCCCAGCCTGCAGATGTCTGCCCCCACTGTGGGCAGATGCCAGCAGTGAACGCTATTCTGGAATATAAGTATTTTCAAGGCACCACGTGCCAGTCTAACACTTTTATGCAATATCACCCTTTAAGTTTCACAATGTGCCTATGAGGCAACAATTAAAATGAAACCTATTTTTCCACAAAGAGTTGTTTGTGGGGAAGAGAAGCAAAACGTTGCACAGCTCAATGACCAAGCTGCGGCGGGCACCAGGCAGAATGCCTCAAGCCAAGCCCAGGCCCTTGACCTTTGCCCTGGGCCTCTGCAAACCTCCACCCAAACTCTTCTCCTCCCAAACTCATCTTCACCCTTGTCTCTTTTCCCCTTTGCAGTCAAGTCTCTAAGGGTTACCTCTTCTAGCCCCAAGCATTAGGGGTTGCTGGAGAGATGCCTAAGCTGAGTCACTAGCAGGTAGGAATTGAGAGAGAAAATAACCCTCCCCTGGATTTTCTCTCCTCCACTGGTCTTTATTCTTCAGGGCAGCAGGAAATGCTGTAAACGCTGAGTCACCTCCAGATACCCCAGTCCTCACCTGGGATGACAGCCACCAGGCCTCACCTTGTTGCAGCTCATACCTTTGACAACCTGAGATTAAGCCACTTGGCAGGGAGTGCCTACTGTGTGCCAGGCACTGTACTAGGCTGTAGTCACCACGGAGAAGAGGTCCTGGTTGGTCTAAGTTCTGATGGATCATGAACCCCAAATGATGAAGAGAGTATAACACTGTGACTACACCGGTAATACCAATGCTGTTTCAACTGGGGTGATCTGACATCAGAGCAAAAAGGAGGTGCCAGACATGGGTATGAGGGTGGGGGTAGAGAATGAGCTAAAGTTGGGTGGTTCTTCAAAAGTTGAACATGGAGTTGCCATAGGAACTAGCAATTCCACTGCTTCATTGAGGCCTCAAAGAAAGGAAAACAGATGTGAGCACAGAAACTTGCCTGTGAGTGTTTACAACAGCTCTGGTCACAATAACCCAGTGTCTATCGACTAAGAGGCATCGGCCGAGTGTGGTCCCCACGACGGAGTACGACTCGGCCATACAGAGGAGTAAAGATCTGACACCCACTACACCATAAAAGAACCTAAAAGACATGGCAACAAAAGAAGCTACAGATTCAGAGATTCCTCTTATAGGATATATCAAGGACAGACAAATCTGCAGCCAGAAAGCAGGTTACAGTCCGCAGGACGTGGGCGTGATGCGAGGTGTTTTGGGGTGGCTGATGAGAGAGTTTTGAAACGCACGAGACCTGGTGGTTGCCTAACACTGGATTCACCAGTAATAGCCTCGCAGCCTCTAAAAGGGTTGATTGCATGTGCGGGCATTTCACTGCATTTGAAAAACAAGAGAGAGGAAGCGGATAAGGATGGCTGGGGCAAGGAGCCGCAAATCTACAGGCCACAAGGCAGAACGGCGGTTGGTCATTGGAAAAGCAGGAAATGGACATCAGGACGGAAGCATGAGGGTGGCAGGGGGAGGGGTGAGCGGTGGGCATCTGGAGGCTGTCAGCCTACAAAGACTGGAGAGTGTGGGGGTGTTGATCGGGGCGGGGCAGGTCCAGCCTCCCACTCTGGGCACAGAGCAGCTGGACTGGACTGGAAGGGCTCAGAGTGGCGGCAGTACCCCAGCTCCCATCGAGGCAGCCAGGCCTCTAGCACTCGGGACCCCCAGAGGGGAGGATGGTGATTTCCACCTTTTGGGTGCCCAGGACCCTCCCTCAGGATGCTCTGCTGCTCTTGGTAACCGGAGGAGCCAGGTCCGTGGAGAAACACCCCGAGACCCGCAGCCAGTCAGCCGGGTCCGTGGGCGGCAGCAGGAGCCTCAGAGACACACACAAGGGCTGCCCTTCACCTTCCCTGGCTCCGGATCGATCTGCAATTACAGACTTCCTGGCCTGAAGAACTGACTCACCCCAGTTATGTAAGCCCTGCTGGAGGCCCAGTTGAAAGGCCTGGTCAGCTGCCAGCTCTGAGGTCCTTGATCTCTGACCCACTCTTATCTGGCTTTTCTGGATATCGGTCAAGAAAAAGGGGAAGGTTTTTTCCAAGTACGAGTTGGGCTGGAAGACGGGACTGACATGCCCCAGCTCAGCCAAGGGCAGGCTTTTCCAAACAGGAAGAGGGCTCACACGCAGACCTCCCGTCATCCTCTGGGCCCCGCCAACTCCACGCAGTTTCCCCTGATTTCTCACTCTCCCTCCTCGTCTCCCTCATTTATTTAACCTGTCAAGGATACTAGAAACTTCTTAAAGCAGAACCTGTGCTTTTTCATGTCTACGCCCTCTACATAGTAGGTGTGCTCTGTGCCCCTAGTAGGCACTGCGCCCCTAACCTCTAGCGGTGTCCATACAGCTCCCTGCCCTCTCTGGATCTCCTCTCCCCGAGCCCCGAAGGCATCGCAAACCTGTGGGGACGGAAATGGAGCTCGGGCAAAATTTCCTCCCAAACCTGTTTTTCTCACATCCAAGTCCTCGTGAGTTGATGCCGCCTGTTGCCCAAGCCCGGATACCCTGCGTCACCCTGTCCCTCTGTCGGGTGAGGTAAAAAGGATCAGGCTTTCCTGCCCTCCCGCCATTAGGACGGATGAGGGAACCCTGTGGTCCCGAATGCATGCCTGGGGGCGGCGCCTGGAGTGGGTCCACCTGGGCTGAGAGACTGAGTTTATAAGGGCGGCGTCACGGGGACGCCAGTGGAAGCCAAGAACAAGCAGAAGCAGAGGGTGAGAGAGAGCGAGAGCGAGCGCGAGCGCACCACGAGAGAGCAGAGAACAGGGCACCAGAAAAGACCGGAGAGCCCAGGCAGAGTGAAGACTTGCTGGGGGCCGGGAGGCCTGTCAGCCTCTTGGCCCCCAGCACCCCTGCCTGCCGCGTGCCTGGTAAATCCCAAGAAAAGCCTGCAAAGCCACTGGGGGCTCCTCCTTCACCCGGTCTTCCGGATCAGCAAACCCGCCCGGTGTCCATTCCCGCCCCTACACCCTCCCTGTCGCCGCGGCCTGTCCGCCCCTCGGCGAGCCCGGTCTGGCTGTCGATGGACCTGCCGAGTTGGACTCCATCTCTCCTTCTCCCTTACCCCGCCGATCCCCCACTCCTGAGCCCCCACATCGCACCTGCAGCTGCGGCAGCGAGCTTCGTGCGCTGTCTCCCGTTCCCGGGCGGCCGCACCCTCACAGCCCATTCTCCAGGCGGCAGCCAGCGAGGCGTCTTCAAAACTGTGTTTTTTCGAACGGCTTCAGAGTTGCAGCAGAATTTGCAGAGACAGTCCAGGGAGTGCCCATAACTCTCCCTCCCCGCCCCAGTTTCCTGGTTATTGGCGGCTGCGGCAGTGGGTGCCTTCACTGCCGCGCATGAGCCCGCGCTGTGCTTCAGCACGAGCTGAAGTCCATGCGTGGCGCCCATCTCCAGTTCTCACCCGAGGACCCGGCAGCGGGCGTGGGGCTCGATCACTCGTGGAGACGGTGATTGTCTGTTTCTTCTCTGCAAAGTCACTCTGCCCCATCCCCCCTGTGCTCTTTGGAAAGAAGCCTCCAAGGAGCAGGAGGTCTTCGAGCTCTTGGAAGCCGTGAATCACGCTTCTGCCTCGACCTCAGTCACCTCCCCAGCCTCATCCCTGCCACCTGCTGTCACTCGCCTCTGTCATTTCCTTAAACACGCCAACTTAGTTCCCACCCGTGGGCCTAGACAACCTCTCCCCGCTGCCTTCACCCCCGCCCCCGCCCCCCCTTGGTCAGCTCTCCATTCAGGCCTCAGCTCAAAAACCACCCACCCTGGGGGATCCAGAACAAATCCTGGGGGAAACCTGTGCCCCCCAAATGTTCAACCTACGTGTGCCTTGGAGAGAGGGCAGCCAGGCCAAACCTGAACAAGTGGGTGATGGCTGGAGGGCCGGGATGGACTCATGGGGGTTGCTTCGGCTCCCGTCTTCCACCCCTGTCATCCTGCCTCACGCTGGCCGCTCGAGGCCAACCTGCCAGGAGCGTTTCTGTAACAGGGTGGTCCCCAGGAAAGGGGGAGGTTCCCTGCCCCACCCAAGGGAGGGTGGAGCTGAGCAGGAAGAGGAGAAGCTGCAGAAGAGACTGAGGAAGGAAGCAGGATGGAGCCAGGAGACCTGGAGGAGGCGCATGGAGCCTAGAGACACGTGAAGAAGCTGCGCTTGTCTTTTGGTCGTGGACTGGGTGACACAGATGTGGGTGAGACCTGTGGGGAGGTGACCATGGCAGCTTTTATCTTGATGTTGATTTTGCTCTTTTCCTTCCGGGCTTGTCCGGTTGTTTGTGACCCTTTGCTGTGGGTCCCCACTGGAAGATGCTTTAGACTTGTGGCAGGCTTTGGGGCCTTGTTCTGGGCCAATCCCATATGGATGGAGTTTTACCCACGAGGGGACGGGTAACTTTGGGTGCTTCATTTAGAAACTAGACTCTTTGCCTTACCTGTATTGTTTCCTAGTTGTATTAAAGTTCCTTCCCATTAAAGTCTCCTATGTTTTGTGTTGATGCGGCGGATGGCAGAACCCATTTAGAATAGGCAGGGTTGCGGGGTTTGGGCTGCCCCTCTCCCTGTCCTATAACATTTCCACCGCAGAAAGTGGTGGGAGCTGCGAGTCAGGCCCTTCTCCCCAGCCAGACTGCTAAGCGTTTGAGCAACACTTCTCTACCCAGGAGGGCTCATCCACACCAGGCCTCTGGGAATCTCTGCAAGTTGTTGTCCAAGGACAACACCTGCAGGCAGTTGAAGCCACCCTGGCCAGGGAGTGGACCCGCAGAAGCCAGCGGCAGTTGTAACCTCAGGCATCGCCTCTGCCCACGTGGGTTCTAAGCTTATCCTGCTCAGAGAAATCACCCCCACGCTTAGATATGTTTACAAGAGACCGAAGGCTGCAGAAAACAAGAGCTGATTGGATAAGGCGCAAAACAGAACTTCTGAAAATTTTTTTTAAAAATGGTAATAAATTCACTTGTCACAGTTGGCAGATGATCGGACACAGCAGAAGGATCGGGGAGCTGTCAGAAGAAAGGATCCAGAACGCAGCACGGAGAGCCCCAAAAGACAGAAAGCACCTCGGGGAGAAGCTGAGAATCAGAAGGGCTCCTGGGAAGCTCTGTTAGACGCGCATTTAAGGCCAGAGAGAATGGAGTGGAAGAACCACTTTGAGGTAATGGCTGGGAACCATCCAGGACTGATGAAAAGATATCAACCTGCACATCTAAAGAGGCCAAATATTTGTTGATGGAGGTGTCCCCCTGCAGGGTCGGAGGGGGTGGGAGAGCCCCTCGGCCTTGCCCAGGCTTGGCACCGGTGGGGGCCCATCACGGTGAATCTCGGCCAGCCTGCTGCACCCCCGTGCCAGGCGGGCTTGGCGGCCTTGGCCGCTGCTCAGCCTTTGTTGTCTAGCGCGCTGCCTCTCTGGTTATCAGTGTGGTCTAAAACAGAGGAGAGGAATGCGGCCCAGCTGCTGAGCTGCCTGGGCTCAGCTCAGCTCCAGAACTTTCCCCTCGGGGCAGAGGAAGAGCTAAACCTGCTTCGCAGTCCTCACCTGGAACAAAGGGAAACGTTGCAAACCCAGAAAAGCAACCTGCGTGTCTTTCCTGGCTGAAGAGGAGGGGAGAGGTCTAGAGAGGCTGGCGTTTCCCTGATAAGTGATGGGGAACTTTTCTCACGTAGCGTGGGGCCATCTGAATGTCTGCTTTCCAGAAGTTCTATTTAGGGCTTTTGTCACCTCATCCCTGCCAGAGTGGCCTGTATTAGAAGACTGGAAACCAAAGTCAGAGAGGGTGTGGAGGATAAAAAAAAGTCCCCCCCGGCTTGGGGAGAATGTGATGATGCAATGCGTGGAAACAGTGTGGCAGCTCCTCAACAAAAAACGTAAATGCCACGTGACCCAGCGATCGCCCCGCGAGAGTCACCGGAAGAAGATGAGGCACCGACCGAAGCGAGGACACACGCCTGTTTCCCAGCAGCACTCCCAACAGCCTCAGCGCGGTGAGACAGGGTGCAGGAGCTGTGAGTCCTGGCGGGGGTGGGGGGGGTCGGGGGGGGGCACCCGCTGTTGAGAAGACATGGAATGGGGCCTCTTGGGATGAAATGGCTGGATCTGGAGGTGATGGTGCTCGTGCAATAAACCAGAAAGTGATAGACAGAGGGTGGTTTCCACTTCTTTGTGGAATTAAAGTTACCAGAGAAAACACACTGGCAAACTGGCAAACCAGAGGGGTGGGGGTGGGCACTGGCCGCGGAGCTCAGTGGAGGGTGAGTGAGGCACAGGCACATCTGAAGGGGTGAAGTTGCGCTCCCCAAATTACAGAGTCAGGTAAATGAATGCAAGTCGATCAAATGTGGAAAAACAAAATAGGATTTGCCTCATTTTCCCCGGCTCTGTTGAGCCGCCACCAGAGAGCAGGGCCCCCTGGGGCCAGGCTGCCATCTGCGCCCATCTGGAAATAATTATACATTTGTGGGGAAGGGGCCGAGACAGGAATGCTCCCATTTTCCAGAGGAGAAAACTGAGGTGCAGGAAGCAAAGTAACTCGCTCAGCTCCCCATGGCCAGGTCCCAGGCTCTCTGGTGACCCGCCCCCCCCGCCCCCAGGCTGCTTCTCCCTGGTCCTGCACGCATCAGGCAGCGCCACGCATCAGGTCCCCGCCCTGCTTGGGGAGGCCCACCGTGCACCCAGGAGGGCGCCCCTGGCTGGCAGGGCAGAGCAGACCCAGTGGAGAAGGCTTTGGGTGGCTGTAAGGGCCTGGATGGACACAGCGCGGGTTTTCTGATCCCATGCAGACCGGGTAAAGGAGGAGTCAGAGTCCTCAGTGGCTTTAGCAGGTCTTTTATTGGGGTTACCAGGTACACGGCAGGCAGGGGTGCTGGGGAGCCGGGAGGCTGGCAGGCCTCCCAGCCCCCAGCAGGTCTTCACTCTGGGCTCTCAGGCCTTCTCCCGGCTGCTTCTTCTCTTGCTTCTCTCTCGGCTTCTCATGGCTTCTACTGGCGTCCCTGTGACGCCGCCCTTAAAAGCCCAGTCTTAGCCCAGGTGACCCACTTCAGGTGCCCGCCATCAGGCACGCATTCAGGATCACAGGGTTCCCTCATCTATCCTGATGGCGGGAGGGCAGAAAAGCCTGACATTTTTCCTTACCCTACAGTGGCTTATGAGAGAGGGTGCACACGGCTTGGGGGGAGGAGAGGGGGGCAGAGCTGGGCTGCCAGGGGCAGTGCTGGGCCACGCTGCCACGTGGGCAAAGCTGGACAAAATCGCACTGAGTGAAGAAGTCAGACCCGGAAGCAGGAACAGTGTGATCCCACGTCAGGAACCATGGAGAACAGGCAGGCTCAGAGGCAGAGCCAGGATGGAGATTGCCTGGGGCTGGGGTGGGGGTTGGGGCTTCAGTTCATGATGATGAAAATGTTCTGGAGATGCGGCGGGGGGGGGGGGGGGGGGGGGGGGGGGGGGGTGGTGAAGGCTTGGCGCCACGGAACCGGAGATTTAAAAACGGTTAACACGGTCAATTTCGTGTTGTGAGGATTTTACCACGCACGGCCCACGCTCTTGTGCCCTCTGCCTTCGGAGCGGGGAGCTCCGAGGAGCCTGTTACATAATGAAATGCCACTTGTTTTTTAACCAAAAAAAAAAAAAAAAAAAAAACCAAACAAACAAAGCACAACACCACCCTAATTAAATGTGCTGTGTATTCATATGCGCATGTGTTAAGGAACAAAAATGATCTGGAAAAACACCCCCCAGGGAAGTGCAGTGTCTCTCCTGGGACAAAGGATGAGAACAGCCTTGGGCCGCCAAAGAAGCTCTTAGTTTCTTTGTTCTGACTGAGTGTTTGGAAAGGCGGATGGGCTGCAGGCTGAAGGTAATCCCCAAGTGTGGCTGCCTTCCGGCGCTCAGTGCCTGTCCACTCTGTTTCAGGTGGCAAAAGGTGGTCTGCAGAGGCAATGAAGGAGGGGAGAGCCAGGTGGCCAAGGTCATTGCCAGGGTCCGCGCAAGAGCAAGGCAGGTGCTTCCAGGACGGAGAGGGCCTGGGATAACAGGAGCCAGCCCCCAGGTGGATCGGGCGCGGGGGAAACAAAGGCCATCAGCCCAGGAGTTCGGTCGCCCCTGGAAGCTGCGAGAAAGGCTGGCTGTGGGGCTCTCCCTGCCCAGGCTCCAGAGGGAACCAGTTCAGCCAACACCTTTATCTTAGGACTTTGACTTCAGACTCCTGCTGCCGCCCCAGTGAGAGAATACACATGTGTTGTTTGAGCTGGTAAGGAATGAGCTCGGATGGAGCCACGTGTTGCCTGTGCAGGCAAACATTACAGGAATTACAGAAATACACTGAGTGACTTGGGGGGAGGGAGGAGATTTGGGGTGGATCAGATAAGGTAGCCCTCTGGAAGGAAGGGGGTGAATCCGGTGGTCTTGGGGAGACGGTAGCTAGGCACGTGAGGTTGGCAGGGGGAGACTGAGATGGGAGATGACGTAAGGGTTAGCGTGTGCAGGACCACCTCAAAACTGCAAGGTGCTGGTGAAATAAACGAATCTTCACACGTTTTCTGCCAAAGACAAGACTTGCAAAATTTCAGTGATTAGAATGTTCCAGATTTAGTGCCTGAATCAACACCTTCTGCTGAGAAGAGTCTTTACTAAAAAAAAAAAAAAAAAAAAAAAAAAAAACCCAAAAAACCAACACTTCATGGAATTAAAAGGAAAAAAGAAAACCAAAAGCAAACCCCAGAGTTCTCAGTATCGATGGAGGAAATGTACACTTCGGTAATGTTGGTTGGGTGAGTTTCAAGTGCTTCGGGAACTGTCTGTGGGTGAGATGTTTAGGAGTCACATTGCTTTAGCTCCGCTGAGGACTTCAAAATGACAGATTGCGTCCAAGTTGAATATCATCCCTCTTGCCTAAAAAAAGGCAGTGGGGGGAGCACGTGGGAGGGTGGCTATGAACATCGGTGCCTGAAAATGCTTTCAAAAAAATTCCAGGAAGGAAGCAGAAGAAGCTGTTAACAATGGTTTTTATTTTGCCTCCTTGCCTACCGTTTGAATTGGATTTTAAAGTTTTTGCATAACTTAAAAAAAATTAAAATGAGGGGAGCATATTTCCCTGCTCCTTAGGTGTGGGTGTGCCTGTGACTTCCTTCCAAGGAGGGCAGGAGGGAAAGGAGGAATAAAGAGCAATGTTTGTTGGGGAAACCCAGCAAGCAGCACCGCGGCAGGTGATCAAGGTCAGCATCAACAGTGATGACTTCTGCTTGTGGTAGACACGGGTTTCCCCCGCTATCCGAAAGTAGAATGCCCTACTCAGTGCAATTTGATAGATTATTTTTGGGGTCTGGGAAAGATAAAAAATTCTATATTAATGGTAATAGTGCTCCCAGGCCCCCCAAATAAGGAATCTAATCGCACCAAAAAGGAATGTTTTGGACAGAGGGGGAAACCTGTACTTTTTTTTTTTTTTTAAGATTTATTTATTTATGCATACAAGCACTGGGGGTTAAGCCAGAGGTGTGGGGTGTGTGTGAGAGGATTCACCAGAGACAGAGCGGGGAACAGAAAAGGCAGACTGACTGAAATACACTGCTGAGGGGAGCAGTGGGCGAGGCACGAGAGGTCTGCTGTGCCATGTGGGTAGCTCCCTGGCTGACCGGGGATCGAACTTGTGCTGCAGTGGCTGCCGATACCTGATAGCGCTGTGTCTTTAACCAGGGAGGCCCCGGGAAACTTGTACTCTTGATATGTTGTGCTGATAATGGCATCTCACCTCTGTGGCCTTCCCCTCCAAATCCACAATATTGGGAAAACATCTGACAAATTCTAGTAGGGGACAACTGCGAAACCCTGCAGTCCTTAACTCCATCCAGGGTGTCAAACACAATGCAGAGTCGGAGGATTGTGGCAGCGGAGCGGGGCCTGACGAGACACGGGGACCGTGCGTGATGTGGTGCCCTGGACGGCACCTGGGAACAGCAAAGGGACATTCGGTGAAAACCGGAAATGTGAATAGTGTGTTGACTTGAGTTAGTTGGCTCATTAATTATGGCAAATCTATACCACAATGTCAGGTGGCAGGGAGACTGGGGGAGGGAATTACAGGACTTTTCTGAACCATCTTCTTAATTTTTCTGTAAAGCCAAAACCGTTCTAAAAAAATAAGATGGTTAAAAAGGTGGTTCAATTTCTAGGAAATTATCCTACACATACACTCACAGAAGGACACAGGGCGATGTGTACAGCAGTGTTCATTGCATCATACCGTGTGTGGGCAGCTGGACAGCTAAGTGCCTTCTCTGGAACACTATCCAACAGTAACAGGTATGTGGCATGGCTGAAGGTCCTGAACTGCCAGTTGCTGAGTAGTCAGACTCTACTTCTGCTAAATGAAAAGTTATACGTGTGCATGTTTATCTAGACATAGAAACATTTTTAGAAAGAGAAACAAAACTTTTCATTGTGGTTATGTCTGGAATATGAGATTGATTGGGCTTTTTTTTAACATTTCAGTTTGCATACTTTACTGCTCGGATAGTTTTTACAGCAAACAAATATTTGAAACTATTTGAATGTTCACTGGTGTATTTTGTTTAGAGATTCATGTGATCAGCCCATGCCCGCATTCAGACAGAAAAGATACAAATTGATTTTACAACTTAAAAAAAGTCTGCGAAGGTGGTTCTTTAAATACCACCATGAGAAAGTTTCAGTTTCTTTCTAGAGAGTTGGCAAGCCCAATGCCTGGAAACTGTCCACCTAGTTTTACCCGAGCGTAAGTCACCTTAAGCATCACAACCATGGCTCAGAGGTTAGGTGTCAAACCTTGTCAAGACTGGAGGTGAAATTTATTTTTATTGTTATTTTTATTTTACATTTGAAAAAGGACAGGTTTGTTAGGAAAAGGAGATAAGAGAAAAAGGCCCTGCAGAGTCGCAGCGGGCAGTCATGGGAGGCGAGCCGCTGGCAGTGACATTGAGAGCTGACTTAATTTCTTAACGGGTGAACT